GTTTGTTTAGGGAAAAGGAAGATTTGAAAGAAGAGCCTCATAAAGTCCAGTATTTTCTTTTAAATCCTCACCCAAGATATTCTTCCATTTATCTTAGACAGAGTGGGGGGCGGGGGAGGGAAAGAAACAACTATATGAGAGGGACACATCAGTCGGTCGCCTCCCACATGACCACATCCAGGACTGGAGATGAACCGCAACCGAAGTACATGCCCTTGACCAGAATCGAACCTGTGACTCTGGTCTGCGGGCCAGTGCTGCAACCGCAGAGCCAGACAGGCCAGGGCTAAAGTAAATTTTTTGTGTGCGTGTGGTACGTGCCCCTAGCGGGAACCGAACCTGGGACTCTGGTCCTGAGGCCGACGCTCAACCGCTGAGCCAAACTGGCCAGGGCTAAAGGAAATTCTTTTTTTTTTTTTAATCCTCCCCCGAGGACATTTTTCCATTTTTTGTTCAGATAGAGCGGGAGGGAGAGAGAGGAAGAGAGAGAGAGATAGAGAGAGAAACATCGATGTGAAGGGACACATCGAGTGGCTGCCACCCGCACAACCAACCAGAGCCGGGGACAAACTGCAACCGAGGTACATGTCCTTAGCGGGAACCGAACCCGGGTCTCTCTGGACCGCAGGCCGATGCTCTAACCACTGAGCCAAACCGGCCAGGGCTAAAGTAAATTCTTGAGCAGAGAGAGAGCACTTTCATTTTTTTTTTTCCTGATGAACTGAATTTTACTTACTTTCTCTTGTACATACCAATATAAGAATGCAGGTTGAAGTCCTAGCCATCTGAACTTGGTGATGATCCTTAGCCACAATAAGCCAGAAAAAAAGAGTATCTACCTAATTTCAAGTCTCCCTCTCACTCCAGCCTTTCGTTTGGTTTTTGGTGACCAGTGTTCTTAAGAAAACTAGTGCTGTATGAGCACTTCAGCTACGATGGGATTTGGCTCTTTTCTGTGCGGTTTTCCTGTTGTCCTGACGTCAGCACTGTGGTTATTACGCCAGCTACTGAGTACTTCTTACATGCCTTGTATCTCAGATCTGTTCTTCAGACCAGGCAACACACTCCCCAAAGATGTGTGTGTTTTTTTTAATTTTTTTTTTCTTTATTGATTTGAGAGAGGGGGAGAGAGAGATAGAAAGATCAATGAGAGAGAACATCGATTGGCCGCCTCCTGCATGCCCCCCACTGGGGATCGGGCCCACAACCTGGGCATGTGCCCTGACTGGGAATCGAACCGGTGACCTCTTGGTACATGGGTCGATGCTCAACCACTGAGCCACACCAGCCGGGCTTCCCCAAAGATGTTTAACAAGAGGTTGCAGAAAGAATTTTGGAGCATCTATTTCTAGATGGCTCATATCGAAGTGGTTTTCGTTGTTTGTATTTCGTTTGCTTGGTGAGGTTTGAAATGATAGGAAGAAGTTTCTTTCTGGTCCTAAGTAACTCCTTAACCTGTAACCTTAAGAAGGATCAGTTTCCACCAGATCGATTTTGCTCCTCAGATCTGTGGCTAGGGAGCAGAACAATCAGAACTTTTTAGCTTATGTCCTAATGGTCAGTGACTGAGCATCAGGAATTCCCTTCCTTCAGAGCTCGGGAGTGTATAGAACTCAAGAAGGCGAATCCTTCCTTCAGTGGACAGCCCTTGAATATCATGGCATTCTGTAACTTCAGTGCAGTTTGGCCTGGCCACTCCTTAACCATGCTTTTCTTAAGATACTCTCACTAATGGGCTGTTTTCTTTCTCTGCGGTAAGAGAAAGAGTGTACAGTCTACAGCAGTTCACCAAAGATTTAAGTTGGTTGATGGCAGAGGTTAGAGTGAGAGAAAAAAAAAGCAGCAACAGATAGATGATAGTTCGAGTCCTTTCGGTTTTTCTTTCTTTTCTTTTGTTTGATGCCACCTGGTAGCAACAGAAGAGGTTGAAGTCTGGGTTTGCTGTTTAGGTTGAGAGTCTAATTAGGGGTCGGCTCTGTTCCCATCATCCTCTGTGCCGAGACCTCTTTGCAGAACTTAGAAAAATGAAGCTGTATTGCTTACTGGTATTAGGGAGTTGTTTTTTTTTAAAAAATAAGAGGCCAAATAATTCTTTACCTTCCCTAACCACATGGGACAGTCAGTGGCAGAACACTTGAAAATGTATTAGATCTGTCTCTGATTCTTATGTTCTTGGTAAATGTCTATTTTCCAAAACAAGAGACTAAGGTTTTAGCCTCATGACTTTGGCTGATGTCACTGGGGCCAAAGTCTCTAAATCACCCACGCACACCACTAAAACTGTCCCTGTGAACCGAGCCCCGGGCAGCTTGGAAACAAGTTGAGTGGTTTTCAAGTGGGCACTTGAGTATGTTAAGCAGATGTCCATGCAAAGTATTTATCACCAAGATCTGTGACCATGTTACAGAGCCTATTAAAACTTCATCTGGATTGTGGGTTTAGGGCCATGTCTCCCAAAAGTGAATTCGTGTGAAAAGTTGTTTACTAGAAGCACATTTGAAACATGAGTTCTGTCTTCATGAGTCATCGTTTGGAGTTGTCTTTCAAAGCTCAGACACTAGCCTGGGAACTGGAGTATTGTTGAAGTCTGTTTAAAAGTAATGGCACCAACTCCCTCAGAAACTGCTGTCCCTGAATTCTCTGTAGGATGGTGGCACTCGCTGGGGGGGAGGAAGCAGACGCAGCTCGACTACCAGTTATGCTCACAGTGTGCTCGTTGGTCAGTCGTGTAGACCAGAATCAGTGGCAAGTTCTCCAGCAAACCCACCACTGCCTGTGGGGCCCACAGATGCCGAAAATATCATCGATGTTCATTAAAACGCAAGAGAAAAATGTACTTTTGTGGCTGGCAAAAAGGACAACCTTACAGAAGGTTGTTTGAATGTATCACAAATGTGACGGGTATTCTTTAAAGAATAAGGAAGTGTTGAGAAGGAAATCCATGTAGCTCCCTACCGTCTATTTCTGGAGGAGAGAGCAGAGGAAGCAAGCATGGAGGTTTGACTGAGACGAAACCCTTCTTCCTCTTGTTGATTTCCTGAGTGCCCCTTTCCCCGGGAGGGTCTCTCCTCCTGCCCCTGTAGGTAAAGGAACCTGGGTGTCTCTTTTGGCGGATTAGCATTAGAAAAATGACCAGACTGCATTTCACCTGGGCTGGAACTAGAGGAATTTAGCGAGATGGGAGGTACTGATGTGCCTGGGAGTAAAAGACCTGGAATAAAACCTCACCCCACCCTGCCCCGCCTCAGGTCTTCCAGACTCCTTGCAAGTCTGGACCATCCTGCTGATAACAGACTCGCTCCTGCCAGCTTCAGCCAAGGCCCCCCCGCTGGAGCTGCTCCGATTCACGTGTCTCCCCGAACCGTCCTCAGCGTGGGCCTGCCCTAGTGATCATTCAGAAGTTGAAAACTGCTGCATGAACCTTAGGGAACAGTCGAGTGGTATTTGCTTTGAGAAAGTATCCCTTTCTTCCAGGGATGTAGCAGAGTCTTATAGAACCACAGGCAGAGGGAAACTGAAGGCTGTAGAGAGGGGGCTAGCATGGGGTCATACGAATGAACGAGCAGAGCCAGGACCTAAATCAAACTGAGTTTGATAACTGTTCTTGTACTTCTTTTAAAAGTTGTTAAGACCCAGCCGGTGTGGCTCAGTGGTTGAGCGTTGACCCCTGCACCAAGAGGTCGCCGGTTCGATTCCCGGTCAGGGCACATGCCCAGGTTGTGGGCCCGATCCCCAGTGGGGGGCATGCAGGAGGCAGCCCATCGATGTTCTCTCTCATCGGTGTTTATATCTCTCTCTCCCTCTTCCTTCCTCTCTGTAAAATCAATAAAGAAAAAAAATGTTTAATTGTTAATATTTCACAGACTGTAACTAAGGTTGTATCATAACAGTTGGCTATTGGGTAGCACAGACATCAGTCTGAGATAGACGTTTGGATCAGTGCCCTGAACCAGCACCGACTAGCGAGTCCCTGAAGATGCGCAGGTGGACGAGGGGTCCCTGTTCTGCAGGAACCCCCATAGCGGAGAGAAATGCGCCCTAACCATCATAGTGTGAGTGGTCACATCAGGGCTCTGCGGACCAAGTAGGCATTTGAGCAGCAACTGTTGCGGAAGGAATGGTGCAGGCCCTTGGGGTCTAGGATTCTTCAGTCTCCATCCTAGCGCCCTCCGCTCCCCATCATCCCTCCACTCGCCCCGCCCATCCTGTGTATGAGCCAAGAGAGCATCTCGGCCCGTAGCTGGGGAGGTGACCTCGGCAGGAACTGGGTACTGTCTGAATCCGGGTGAAGCGTTGCTTAATGTGTGTGGTTGATCTTCTCAGGGAGCTGTTCCCTGGAGAGGCAGCTGTCATCGGCTGTCCCCACAGACTGCCTCACCTCTGGCCCTGTTAGGCAAGAAGAGCATGACGGGAGTTCAGATAAAATCGTGTCCTTGGCAAATTGTGGTCTCTGCTTCATCTCTCAGGAAGTCTCCCACATGTCCCTTAGTCAGGGCTCCCAGAGGTGCCTCGGGTGTTTCTCATGACCTTTCTTCTGCAGCTCTTGACTCGGGGCGGGTCCCAGGTGAAAGGATGTGAACAGATTTTTCAGATTCACACTCTGCCTTTGACACGGTCTCCCACACTTCACAACCCGTCAGGAAGCTTTATCTGTGTCTTGGCTTGTGACTCAGGCTTTTACATATTGATGGCAGACACTTTTAGTTTTCGTTTTAGTTTTAGCAGCCGTCCAGCTCCCTGCCCGAGAAGTCCCAGACTTCTAGCTTCGTCATCAGATAGCACATCTGCTCTTGTTCCCTCCTCCTCCGAGTGACATCAGACGCCTGCTTCCCAGAAGGGCCGCAATCTGTGCTTCTGTCCCGGTCTCATTCCAACTCGGGAGCCGCTTCGCTTCGAAACCCGCGGCCCGCGGGGGCCCCAAGGCAGGACCTGGGCTCTGTTTGCCTCGTTGATGTCACCTTGGGCTCTGTTGATTTTTATTTTCCCTGCTTTCTTTTCAGATTGTACTGCTTTTGTCCACAAAGGCTGTAGAGAAAGTCTGGCCTCCTGTGCAAAGGTCAAAATGAAGGTAAGACATTTCTGCCTTAAACCCATAAAACCTGGAGAGCGAGGAGTGTTGAGATTGTGGGTTTTGTTTCTTTTAATCATTAGGTACCAACTTTGAGACCAAAAAAAGTCATTTCTTTTTTTTTTTCCTCTTAAGTAATTGATTCTCTTTCTAATGAACACACTTGGGCATTTGTGGCCTTGGGAGAAGAAAACATTTTCAGAACTTCTCCACGTTAGATCTACGTGTCTCTGAGGTTCTCTCTGTACTGTTGAGGTCTTAGCCGTGTCTGCGGACTGTGCTGTTCCACAGGCCGGGGTCATCACTCGGGACCGTGGGGGCCGCAGGGGCCAGTCAGGGGCTCTGACCTGCGGGTGCACTGGGCGGTGTTAGCGCGAGATGCTTGTGTGGCAGCCCTTCCTCACGGGGTACACAGAGATGGCTCTGATCAGATGACACAAGGTTGGGGAGCGCCGGCCCCTGGCGGTACCTGCTCCGGGCATGCGCGCTGTGTAGCAGTGTGTAATAATGATCACTGCTTCTCAGGTCGCCCTGAAGAGACAAGTATGGATTTGGGGGACATACCTTTGAGTCACCCCCCTCCAGTTTTTTGTTCTTGTCTGAAGAGTACTCTCCAGCTCCAGCTACACAAAAGCTGGGTGTGCTGTCTGATTCAGCGATAACCAGACATGGTATCTAGCACAGGGCCCCAGCTACAATGTCCATCAGAATCACCTCGGGGGCTTGTTGCAAATCAGCTTCCTAGGAGAGTCAGACTCGGGGTCGCGGCCCAGGAATCTGCATTTTAGCGAGTCCCTAGGTGATGCCGATACTGGGCTCCTCGGACCACACTCCAGAAGGCGCGGACCGGGGTGAAGGGGGCGGATTTCTGTACTTTGGATCTTTTTTAGCTCACAGGCATCCATTTTCTTTGGCTCATAAAGTTTATTTTTATCTGAGTTAATGCAGTTGTTTAAAAATCATATTTTATAATAATTTGAATAATTAGAAATTTCTCCTTAAAAAGCGGACGATCTCACAACCCTGGTATCCCCCTTACCCAGCATTCCCAGTCCTCACCTCGCTCCTTTTTTTTTTTTAATCCTCACCCGAGGACATTTTTTGTTCAGATAGAGCGGGAGGGAGAGAGAGAGAGAGAGAAACATTGACGTGAAAGGGACACATCGAGTGGCTGCCACCCGCACAACCAACCAGGGCCAGGGACAAACTGCAACCGAGGTACATGCCCTTAGCGGGAACCGAACCCGGGTCTCTCTGTACCACAGGCCGACGCTCTAACCGCTGAGCCAAACCGGCCAGGGCTCACCTCGCTCCTTTTTTCTGCGGTACTCATCACCTTCTCAGAGTCTGTATTTATTTATCGCATCTATTTTTTTCTCTGGACCTCAGGCCGACGCTCTAACCGCTGAGCCAAACCGGCCAGGGCTCGCGTCTATTTTTTTTTAATGGGCTGTCCCTCCCCACCAGAATGTAAGCACAAACCTGCCAGGCAGTTGGAAGTCAGGAATATTTGCTACGTCGATAGATCCTGAGCACCCAGCGTGGTACCTGGCTTACCTGTCCTCGCACGTCAGACGGATGGCGAGTGGTCACCCACTAGAGCCTGGTGGCTGCGGCCCCCCGTAGGCAGATTACCACCCCTCCTCCCCCCATAGCTTGTCTGTGTCATTCGCTATCTGCCTGACCCCACAGGGTTTGAGTTTGTGATCTCTGAAAAGACTTATCACTATTTTTGAAAGTAGGAGTGTCTCTAGAAAGATAACGAGATATAGTACCTCCCATATGAGAGAGTATAACTTAAAAGAGGGAGTTCCACTGTGAATTGGAAGTGATGTGTTTTCACTACTGAGCGATGAGACTCATGGCTTGTCTGGAACTTCTGACACAAAGTGTCTGTTACATGCTGCAACAAAAGTCTTAACTGAAAGTAACGCTTGAGCTCAGAGCTATTTAGCACTTCATACTCATGGCTTCAGTCTGGAACTTCTGACACAAAGTGTCTGTTACATGCTACAACAAAAGTCTTAACTGAAAGTAAGCTTGAGCTCAGAGCTGTTTAGCACTTCATACATGCTAGTCCCTGGAGAAGCAGAAATGCAAATGCACAAAGTGTTCAGGGACCAGCATGCTTGTGGGGATGGGGGACACGCAGGCGGCGACCGTAAATGAGGAAACACCATGCAAAGGGGTGCCAGTCACTGCCTTGGTTGGGAAGAAAGAACATGGTTGGCTCTCCTGGAAGTAATACTCGGGCGGCCATGAGATAGAAGAATGTCATGCCTGTGAAGGCAAAGTCATTCCAAAGAGTGGCACTTGTGGGATCCGAGTGTGACAGGTTCAAAGGATAGCCGGTGGGGGGTGCCCGGCTGAGACCTGGACTGCTGAGGACCACTGGCAAGGGACAGAGCAGGGAGGCAGGAGCAGCTGGTGTCCTGCTCTAGGCTTCTTGAAACTTGACCCGATAAATCGGAGGTGCGGTCTTCATGTGTGTTCTCTCTCCCTCAGCAGCCCAAAGCCAGCCTCCAGGCACACGACACGTCATCGTTGCCCACGGTCATCATGAGAAACAAGCGTGAGTAGCTCAGCCCGCCTCTCATGATTCTCTTTGACTCTGGTTCAAGACGTAAACGTACTTATGTCCTGCTCATTTGTTGCTAAGCAAGGTTGGAGTACCTACTTGGTGGTCAGGCTGCGGATTTATTGACCCAACAGCTAACATTCTGCCGTCAACGTTTCTGGGTCGTGTGTGTATCAGTGTACACCGCAGCACTGTGCCCAGGCCAGGGGGCTTGGCTGGAGGGTCATCCTGCACACCCGAAGGTTGCAGGCTTGATCCCCGGTCAGGGCACATGCCCAGGTGGTGGGCCCGATCCCTAGTGGGGGTCATGCAGGGGGCGGCCAGGCGATGGTCTCTCTCATCCATGTGTCTCTCTCTCTCTCCTTTCCTCTCTCTCTAAAAATCAATAAAGAAAAAATATTTAAAAAAAAACCACTAAGAACTTTAAAAAAATAAAACAAACATACATATCCTTGGGTGACGATTTAAAAACAAAGCAGCTCTGCGGTCCTGCATGTTTACGCACGCGACCCCGGCGCATCCTGAAGTTCCTCTCTCGCGAGTTGACAGTTAGACCTGTTTTCAGTGCCTCGCAGTCACATGGGTCACATGCAGTCTTGCTTATTCCACTTACTTATAAGCAATGATTATTTTTTCCTTTTTCAAAGACTTCAAGTGGCCCACATAATAGCGGAAATCATACTCTCCCATGCACAGACTATCTTCACCAGTCTGCGAGGCTCACTGTGATTTCACTTAATATAGTTCCCTTTTTTAATTAAAAAATTTTTACTTTTCAATTACAGTTGACATATACTATTATATTGCCCATGTTTGTTTGTTTGTTTATCCTCACCCGAGGACATTATTTCATTTGTTCAGATAGAGTGTGAGGAAGAGAGAGAGAGAGAGAGAAACATCGATGTGAAAGGGACACATCGAGTGGCTGCCACCCGCACGACCAACCAGGGCCGGGGACAAACTGCAACCGAGGTACATGCCCTTAGCGGGAACCGAACCCGGGTCTCTCTGGACCTCAGGGCGACACTCTAACTGCTGAGCCACACGGGCCGGGCACCTTCTGTACTATATCTAACGTATACCTTTCTAATCCATCATGTCTTTAGACATACGGATTTCTCTGAAAATTCCCATTCTGCCTCTTTCCCCTGCTCAGTGTAGTTTTGGGGTTGATGCGTGTTAAAATACGTATGCCGTTGTTTCAGACGGCCGCATGGTGTTCTTTCATAAACATACACCCTGTTTTAATTACCACTTCCTCCAAAGATGGGTATCTAACTTATTTCCATCTCCTGCTGTAAATAGTGCAGTCGTGAAGATCATTTAATTGGTTCTGTGGGAACCTGTGTGCAACTTGCCCTAAGGCAGGGTTTTTCAAGTGCAGTTCCTGGCCCTACCCGGACCTACTGAGTCAGAAACTACAGAGGTTGAGTCCCGTGATCTGGTTTTTTGTTTTGTTTGATTGTTTTTATTTTTAATATATTTTTATTGAATTTTTAGAGAGAGAGGAAGGGAGAGAGAAACATCGATGTGAGAGATTACATCAGTTGGCTGCTTCCTGCACACCGTATGGAAGATCGAGCCCGCAACCCAGGCGCGTGCCCTGCCCGGGAATCGAACCGAGACCTCTCAGCCCATGGGGCGATGCCCAGTCTGCTCAGCCACACTGGCCGGGCGTGACCTGTGTTTCATAGCCCCTCCCGGAGGTTCTGGTGCACACTCAGGCTTGAGAACTCCTGCTCTGCGCAGGCCTGTTCGTTCTGTTGCACTTGGCTCTGGTGCACCTCACGGATGCTGCAGTTTTAAAAATCGAAGGCAAGACCCTCCAACAAAAAGACGATGACCCGCTTCATCGCGATGCACACTTCATGGCCGTGGTTGGAACCAAACCCACGGTGTCTCCTCGGTTTGCCCGAACCGAATTTCTCTAAGTACTTCCACGTAGTTCCAGAAGGGCTGCGCCATCTGCAGTCCCACAGGAGAGTGAATTCCCTGTGGATATGTGGAGTCCCAGTTATTGTTTCAGCAGCGAGCACCCCGTTCCAGCACCGGTTACCAGTCCGATTTCTGTCGCTGCTTTTTCTGTGACATCACCCCTTGTTTTACGAACCTGTTTTCTTTTCTTTTAAGAAACCCCTGCCAGGTGCCAGATTCTCTATGTATATTACCTCTGACTTCCCCTGTCTTTTCCTTTCTGCTTTACGCACCGAGTCAGTATAGTGGTCCGAGTCCAGATGATGGAGTCCAGTTGTATGGGTTTGGGTCTCCACACCTCTGTTTAATAGCTGGGTGACCGTGGGCATTTACTAAGCACAATGTCAGCAAGTGCTCAGGTTCAGTGAGATCATCCCTGTAAAGTACGTCGCCTCCTGAGTATTAGCTTTTGCTGCTAACGCCATCATCACAGATAAGGGCCCGAGGCTCAGATGTGTGAAGTGACTTACCTGAGTGGAGTATGGGCTGGTTTCACACAGGGGAAGCTGTTATCTTCACCCCCTGTGGACATAAAGGTTCTCTGTAACCTTCAGAGCATGACATCACCCTGCTTCTCCTGCCTCTTCTGACGCCTTCTGTGCTTCCTACTTCCTCTTTTCCTTACCCCTTTTACCCTCCTGCTCGGTTTCTTCCTGCCTCGTTCATGCAGTGCTCACACAGGATCCCCTTTCCTTCTGACCTACCACATCCTTACTGTTCTCAAGAACCAGTGTTTCCTCCTCCGTCAGATCCGCTCTGCTCACCGACTTCGTGGTACACTGGGCTGGGCTGCGGGCTCACTCGAGAGGTGCTTGTTTCTTGTTGCTGTTAGTTGCCCTTCGTCTTTGTTGGGCTGGGGCCCCCATCCCATCCTTGGGGGCTTCCTGCAGCACGTCTGGCCGTGTCGTCGTGTAGCGTGTGCTGATGGTTTATTGTTTCACCTCCTAACTGGAATTCGAATGGGAAATTAGTGATTTCATGGATACTTATTCAGTTCAAAACATCCTGAAATACTGTGAAGTCGTAACTGCTGCTACAGTCTTTATTGCCTTCAGCTGCTGACTCTCCTAGGGATGGACCGATAAGACAGCCCATGCCTGGGGCAGGAGCTCACGTAGCAAGGACACATCATTTTCTCCCCAGATGCCAGGGTGACCACTTCAGCATAAAACAGGAGCTCCCTTTGCTCGTATTCCGGGGAAATTCAGTTTGAGAGTGAAGGAGCTACGTGACATTAAACCACTTTGCATTCTCCCCATCTGTAAATTCCCGGATGTGGTCAGAATCTTTGTTCTCAAACAGTGTGCACAGGAATCATCTGGGGGGCTTGTACAGTGTGTGGACCTCCCTGGTTCCACCCCCACAGGAGTAGAGGGCTGGGAATCTGCGAATCTAACAGCCCCTCGGCTGTTCCTGGCAGGTGCTCCCAGAAGACACCGGCTCAGTTATCTCTAAGGGTCCTTTCATCCTTAGTTTATTGTGAATTAGTGTAAATGTTTACAGACATAATATTATCTCACAACTCTTCATTCTCGTTGATTAATTTCCATCTCGCCCTACAGGTATCTTCTTCAAGTTGCTTTATTAAAAATAGAGCAAATATCAATTTGGATTATTACTTTTTCTTTTTAAAAAACATGGTAGTCTGTTGTGCATTTTATTTAACTACACCTTGATTTATTTCACCCCTTCATATATTATCTTAGCAATCTGTGTCAATTCATGGAGGGTGTCCTCATTTTTAAAAAAACTACATACTGTTTCATTGCATGGCTTACCGTAATTTATTAGTCGATCTCCTTTTAACACTCATTTGTGTCATTTCCGATCTTTTGCTGTTACCAACAGTGTTGCATTGAATAACTTGGAACAAGGGTCACTTCAGCTCTGACTGGTTTTGCTCAGCAGTTAGAGTGTTGGTCCAGAGACCAAAGAGTCTTGGGTTCAATTCCGGTCAAGGTCACACACCTCGGTTGCATTTCTGTCCCCGGCCCTGGTTGGGGTCATGCGGGAGGCAACCAGTCATTGTGTCCCTTTCGCATCGTTGTCTCTCTCTCTTTCTCCCTCTCCCTCCCTCTCCCTCCCTCCCACTCTCTGAAGATAAATTTGAAATGGGTGTGTCATTTCAAACACAAACAAATGTATCTCACGGAATAAACCTACCCTGAAATGGAATTACTGCATCCAAGTGTAGAGGCATTTCCAGTTTTAATAGATATTGCCAAATTATCCTCCAGAGCCGCCCCCCACCCCGCCTTTGACCCCCCGGGCGATCTGTTTGGAGCAGGCGGGGGTGGGTGATGCCTCACTCGGTGTGTGCTCTTCCTCGCAGCCTCGCAGCCCAAGGAGCGCCCTCGGTCTGCAGTCCTCCTGGCCGACGAGACCACTGCCGCCCCCCTGTTTCCCAATAGGCGGTCCCAGCAGAGCATGTCGCTGTCCAAAAGTGTCTCCATACAGAACATCGCCGGGTGAGTGGGGATTCAGAGACGGTGCGGTTGACATCTAGGTGATGGGAGCTGATAACCGTACTTGACAAAAAGATTCTTCTTTTGTTAAAAATGTGTAAGGTGATGGGTTGTGGGGCACAACAGAGGTTCAGATGAGAATGAGGATCACATTCTGATCACTGTCAACTGCCACATTTTATGACAAGGGTCCCCTTTAAACACCATTGTTGGGCCAGATGGTCCTACGCTTTTGTCCGCGATTGCTCCGCTTCCCAAGCCCCTGAGGCCTGAAAGGATGATTTTCTAAATCAAAATAAGTAGGAAGCCCGGCTGGTGCGGCTCAGTGGTTGAGCGTTGTCCCAGGCACCAAGAGGTTGCTGGTTCGATTCCCGGTCAGGGCACATGCTCCGTCCCCAGTGGGGGGCGTGCAGGAGGCGGCCCATGGATGCTTCTCTGTCAGTGATATTTCTAGCTCTCCCTCTCTCTCAAAGTTAATAAAAACATTTTCTTAAAAAATAAGTAGGAATAGGAAAAAAGAGGATTTCATTTTGAGTTTTTAGTTGCAGCCACTTAGATTTTAGATGTCACATTTTTCTATTGGTTGGATGAACCTGGTCTTTTTGTTTCTGTTTTAATTTGTTTTCCACCCTTGCCTCTTGACACTTAAGTCGGTTTCTCGGGAGTGAATAATGGGCCAGTTACTGCTTTTCGGTTCCCACCCACTCATTGGCTCTTGGTGATCCCCACAGAAGTTTCTGTGACCCCTGACTGTTGAGACTTCAGCTCCCACATGATTAGCACAGGGCTGATTGTGATGTTCCTGGCTGTTTGGGTAAGATGCCTGACTTCCCATAAAATGTCGGACTCAAAACATGTCTGGCTTCTCTCTTACCCGAGACGGGAGGAGGATTCTTACCCGAGGATGTAAATCTCCTCGTGTCTGCATTTTCTAACTTCTGTGCTGGCTAATATTTCTTCCTCCTTAAAAAAAAAAAGTTCCGGGTATTTTTATTTTTTATCTTTATATTGTCATTATCCAAAGGCCTCCTTTTCAAAGTTGTTATCAAAATTTGTTTGCATTATGACTTTTTAAAGTTGGTCTTTAAATAAAATTTAAAGTCTTAAATGACTCTGGCTTGTTTTTGTGTCGTATCACAAACATTTACTGGGTACCTGCTGTGCTAGAGGGTGAGTTGGGGTCAAAAGACCAAAAGAATAACCAATGTCCCAATAAATTTAATAATATTTTTTAAAAATAAATTTTCTTTATTATAGAGGAAGGGAGAGGGAGAGAGAGATAGAAACATCAATGAGAGAGAACATCAATTGGCTGCCTCCTGCATGTCCCCCACTGGGGATCAGGCCCACAACCTGGGCATGTGCCCTGACCAGGAATCGAACCAGTGACCTCTTGGTGCACGGGTCGATGCCCAGCCACTGAGCCACACCGGCCAGGCTAATAACAGTTTAAAAAAAAAAAAAAGAAGACAGTTTATTATAAGTGCTCACTCAGTCTGTAGTTATTTAGGAAAGAGGAAGAAAAACATAGTGGTCAGACGGTGAGCTTCAAAGAGAAATTTCTTCTGTAAGGTGTATGCAGTTTGAGGGGAAAGTGTTCACCTTCCTGTCATTTAAAAGAATATCCAAGGCTCAAAAAGTTCAAGTCGGCAGTGATGTTAAATGCCTTTAACCTTCATTACTACTTCTCGTTGCTGGGCTCCCAAAATAAGCAGTTTGTCTGCGATCGTGGGTGTTACATTCGGCCGGCTGTCACTGGAGCGTAGTCCAGGTCCCCATGGGAGACGGAAACCAGGGCTCATCATGATGTATCTGACGTGCTTCTTTCTCTCTGTCCCCAGAGTTGGCAACGATGAGAACATATCCAACACCTGGAAATTCCTGTCTCATTCAACAGACTCGCTCAATAAAATCGTCAAGGTCAACGAGTCGACAGAATCACTCACTGACGAGGGTAAGAGGAAGTGACCGCCGGTACTTTATTTTCTATGGAGACCGTGCCATTTCGTGACCTAGAATACAAGCGTTGATGGACAAATAGGTGCCTGCCTCTCGAGTCTCTAAATTGCCTGCAAAGCATGAAATGCTTTCTAATAAATTGGTAATCAGACTTACCCAGTTGTTAGATAATTGTCCATTGAACGATGTCATTGCTTTTAATGTGTTCACTCTCTAGTACAAGTGCTGCTCTCCCCCTAGACTCTCAGGCTTGGTTCTCTCGGCACAGATGTAAGCCTACTCCCCTAAACAAGCCGAGGTACCAGATCCCTTCCCGTTCCTGCGTCACGTAGAAATCGTGTCTTAATCGCGTCTGATTTGTGTGATGCTCATCACGCTTAGCCAGAGCCGGAATGGAGCGTGTGACTCCCAAGCAGAACACGATTCCTTTCTCATCCCGGGATATGGTTCTATGAGTATCCCCAGGACCAGTGCAGAGTGTTTGTGTCTCAGGAAATGATCACACCATGGAAAGTCCGTCTTGGGCTTTTCGGAGGTCCCGGACCTAGGTTCTGATGCTGTTTTTTTGCTGTTTTGAGGAGTAGGCACAGACATGAATGAGGGGCAGCTCCTGGGAGACTTTGAGATGGAATCCAAGCAGCTGGAGGCAGAGTCCTGGAGTCGCATAGTCGACAGCAAGTTTCTGAAGCAGCAGAAGAAAGATGTGGTCAAGAGGCAGGAAGTGATCTACGGTGAGCTGCTCCCCTTGACATGCCTTGTCCAGCATGTGCTTCCCAGTACATCGGGCCGTGTACTGGGCCATGGAGGGTCGAGGTTCAGCTGTGTAGTAGCGCAAAGATTTTCTTTGAAAACTTTGAGGTATGGAGCCCGGTCTCACTTCTTTCTGATCTTTTTTTCTCTCTTTCTCTAATTATTCTCTAATCCTGGCCGGTTTTGCTCAGTGGTTAGAGCATCGGCCTGCAGATCAGGGAGTCCTGGGTTCAGTTCTAGCCAAGGGCACGTACCTTGGTTGTGGTTCGTTCCTGGCCCTGGTTGGGGTAGTACGGGTGGCAACCAATGGATGTGTCTCACTCACATCGATGTCTGTCTGTCTGTCTGTCTCTCTCTCTCTCTCTCTCCCCCTCTCCCCCCTCTCTCTCCCTCCCCTCCCCCTCTTTCTGAAGATAAATGCAAACAAAAAATTATTCTCTAATTTCATCGAAGATTTTATTTCATATGAGTGCTTATTTAGGCAACAGGCCTAACAAGACATCTCTTGGACAGTTCAATTCCTCTTCTACACTAGGGACTAGACACTATTTCCTATTTCTAGGAAATAGGAACCCAGAAAATTACGAAAGGTTTCAGTTCCAGTGAAGACCAGTTTGGGAACCACCAAAGAGGGATGGTATCCAGTAAGCCTGTGGTGGGAGGAGACGAGAACACTCTGGGGGAGAGACAGCTGTCGGCCCAGCTTTAGAGTTTACACTGGGCTCCGAGTAGCCCTGCGGTTAAATGGGGCTGTTCATGGCCGCGGACGGTGAGGCCAAGGGAGTCCTTGCAGCAGAGTGTCCCTGACCTTGAGCTTTGCCTTCCGGCAGAGCTGATGCAGACGGAGCTGCACCACATCCGCACGCTCAAGATCATGAGTGACGTGTACAGCCGGGGCATGATGACCGAGCTGCTGTTCGAGCAGCAGATGGTGGAGAAGCTGTTCCCCTGCCTGGACGAGCTCATCAGCATCCACAGCCAGTTCTTCCAGCGGATCCTGGAGCGGAAGAAGGAGTCCCTGGTGGACAAGAGCGAGAAGAACTTTCTCATCAGGAAGGTGGGAGACGTGCTCGTCAATCAGGTGAGCCGGGGAGGGGCGCGGGGGGTTCCGCAGCCGCGGTCACGTCTGGCTGGGGCATCCGTCACCTTCGCTCACTCGGGGAACCCAGGACTCCCTCTAACCGCTGAGCCCCAAGTTCCGTTTCTGTAAAGGAGGACATTTTCTCTTCTAACACTGTTTTTTTTTTTTTTATCCTCACCTGAGGACATTTTTCCATTTCTTGTTCAGAAAGAGAGAGAGAAACATCGACGTGAAAGGGACACATCAAGTGGTTGCCACCCGCACGACCAACCAGGGCCGGGAACAAACTGCAACTGAGGTACATGCCCTTAGCGGGAACCGAACCCGGGTCTCTCTGGACCGCAGGCCAATGCTCTAACCGCTGAGCAAAACCAGCCAGGGTTCTTCTAATACTATTTTTTAAAGTTAAAAGGAATGTATATGTAAAGTACCTAGCATGTGCAGTGGGTACGCAATAAAAGTTGGTTTTTCTTCCTCGAAGTCTATACCACGAGCAAAAGTATACCTTAAGAAATCAAAAAACGTTTGTAGGAAGTCTCAACTTCCCCCTCTGCCTCAAATCTAAAGGAACTCATGTGTCTGAAAACAACCTCGGCACAGAAAATGGCAGGAGGAAGTGTCTGTAAAGTAGTTTGTAAAGCGTATCTTACTGATATTTTCGTCAAGGTGTGGTGTGGTTTCAGTTGTACATCAAAAACAATTTGGCTAAAAAGTATGTTGAAACTTTTGCATGTGTACATCATAGACAAAAGTTTAATGTTTCTTCCTTTTTTTTTTTTTTTTAATCCTGAGAGAGAAGAAGGGAAAGGGAGAAAAACATCAGTTTGCTGTCCCACTTATTCATGCATTCATCGGTTAATTCTTGTACGTGCTCTGAACAGGGATCGAACCCACGACCTTGGCGTATAGGGATGACGCTCTAACCGACTGAGCTGCTAGGCCAGGGCCTAATGTTTCTTTCTTGTTTTTGTTTTTTTTTTATCCTTACCCGAGGATATTTTTCCATTTTTTGTACAGATAGAGTGGGAGGGAGAGAGAGAGAGAAATGTCGATGTGAAGGGACACGAGTGGCTGCCACCTGCATGACCAACCAGGGCCGGGGACAAACTGCAACCGAAGTATGTGCCCTTAGCGGGAACCGAACCTGGGTCTCTCCAGACCGCAGGCTGACGCTCTGACCGCTGAGCCAAACTGGCCAGGGCTCTTTCTTGTTTTTTTTGGTGAATTATCTCAGGATATTTTTCCATTGATTTTTAGATAGAGTGGAAGAGAAGGGAGGGAGGGAGGGAGGGAGGGAGGGAGGGAGGGAGGGAGGGAAGGAGGGAAGGGGAAGGGAACATCGATGTGATTGGTTGCCTCCCACACAACCCTGACTGGGGCTAGGAATCAAACCTGCAACTCAGCTACGTGCCCTTGAACAGGAATTGAACCCCACAACCCTTTGGTCCACAGGCTGATGCTCTAACTGCTGAGCCGAATTGGCCAGGTCCAGTGTTTCTTTTTAACACTTTTTTTTTTTTTTAATGTTGCCAGTATAATCTTAACAGGCAGAGGGGCCCGAGATCCCATCTGACGAGCTCATTTCCCCAGAAAATCTCTGCCTCGGTGTAGAAGCAGAGGCTTAATCTAATTGCTGGGACCTTTGCCTGGGAGGTGGACATTTTTTCCTTTCCTCGTATTCACGAGCCACTACCCCTCACCCCATTAAATTGTTGGTGCCTTCATTCACCCATTTTTTTCAAGTATTTACTGGACACCTGCTGAACGCCAGGTGGACCCACAAAGGTAAATACGCCTTGGACCATTGCCTGATGCAGTGCCTGTTACGAAATAACTGCAGATGCTAAGCGCAGGTGTCTGCAACCGGTGGGGCCTCTAAGTGGGAGGGGTTCACTCGACACCCCCTCCCCCAGCATTTCCCACGTCTCTACCCTCGGACCTGTGCAGGTCCCTCGTCTAACCTCCACGTGTGTGGTTGGTAGCGCCTGGCATCTGTGCACACCTTCTAGCAAGTTCTATGGTGGTAGGGTTCGTGTCAGCCCCGTGGGTGCCGGGGTGAGAATCACCCTGGAGGGCACTCGCTTTAGTATGGGAGCAGATCACGCAAAATCTCACCGCCTCGGCGTTTCTGTTGGTGGAGGGGGAAGGAAAAGCTGCCCAGAGGTTTTGGTAAGGATCGACCGTGTTGCCTCCAGGGAGTTTTAGTCCAGTGGGAATCGATGCTTAGCACGTGTCATCCGGGATACGTGTAGCCCGTCAGTCACCCCACACTGAGCCCGTCCCCAGACGAACCGTGAGACTGCTCACATCTGGGAATGGAGTAGGGACTGCTGGCCCTGAGCGACGGGAGCACACAGAGCCTCGTCATGACGGACGTGTCGGTGTCTTTCTTATCGGTGACATTTTTAAGACTGACTATCTCATGAAAAACTTCTAGCGAGTCTCCTTGTGTTATTACTATGGTTATGACAAGAACACATTTTGCACAGTACATAGATGTTTGTGTTCATTGTTTTAAACTATATGTATAGCCCGGCCGGTGTGGCTCAGTTGAGCGTCGACCCATGAACCAAGAGGTCGCCGGTTCGATTCCTGGTCAGGACACATGCCCAGGTTGTGGGCCTGATCCCCAGTGAGGGGCATGCAGGAGGCGGGCAATCGATGTTCTCTCTCATCAGTGTTTCTATCTTTCTCCCTCTCCCTTCCTCTCTAAAAATCAGTAAGGAAAAAAAACAAACAAACTGTATGTATAGCAGCTTTATCGAAACAATGCATTTGCCATATAACCACCCGTTAAGGGTGTACAGCTCAGTGGTTGTTAGTGTACCCACAGAATTGTGCAACCATCACTACCACCACCCTGGAACATTTTTGTGACCCCACCAGCGACCGCCACAGGCCTAGGCAACCACCAGTCCCCATTCTGTCTCTCTTAATGTGCCTGTTCTGGACATTTTATGGAAATGAAATAAAACAAGACGTGGTAGCAGGTGATTGGCTGTTTTCGTAGTGTTAGGGTAACGTTTTCCAGGCCCGCCAGTGTTGTAGCATGTCTGAAATCGGGATTTCTTTTCCTTTTCTGCCTGAGTCGTGTTCCATCGTACGTATACCCACCACGTTTTATTTGTCCAGGCATCCTTGGTAGACATTGGGTCATTCCCGCTGTGGGACTCTGACTAGTGAACAATGAGCACGTGTATGAGAGTTCTTGTGCGGACTCGTGGTTTTCTGTCCAGGAGTGAGTTGCCGGGTCATTGAACTTTCTTGGGGACCGCAGGCTGTTTTGTGAAGCTGCTGCGCCCCCTCAGCCTCGCGGGGCAGTGGAGGGAGCACTCGTGGGCTTTCCCGACCGACGGCAACGGGGCACAGGGCGACAGTACCCCTACCACCCGCGCCGCGGCCTGACCGCGCCTCTTTCCCGTGCAGTTTTCGGGGGAGAACGCGGAGCGCTTGAAGAAGACGTACGGCAAGTTCTGCGGGCAGCACAACCAGTCCGTGAGCTACTTCAAAGACCTGTACACCAAGGATAAGCGCTTCCAGGCCTTCGTGAAGGTACCGGCTCCCGTGTGCCCGTCGAGCCGTGCCCAGAGCGCGTGTCCCCGTTGGCTCGAGCGCCCCTCCCTCGGGGCCCCTGACTGTGCCTTCCTCCTTGCAGAAGAAGATGAGCAGCTCGGTGGTGCGGAGGCTGGGCGTCCCCGAGTGCATCCTGCTGGTGACCCAGCGGATCACCAAGTACCCCGTTCTGTTCCAGAGGATACTGCAGTGTACCAAAGGTGGGCCTCCTGGCTGCTCCAGCCCCGGTGCCCAGCAGCTCCAGACACCCCGGGGGCGGGGGGGGGGCAGCTCGTTCCTGCTCTGCTGGGCCACAGAGATCCTGGGTTTTACCTAAAATCCGTGGGGTTTTTTTTTCTTTTTTTTTTTTTTATCCTCATCCGAGGACACTTTTCCATTTTTTGTTCAGGTAGAGTGGGGGGGGGGGGAACAGAGAGAGAGAGAAACATCGATGTGAAAGGGACACATCGAGTGGCTGCCACCTGCACAACCAACCAGGGCCGGGGACAAACTGCAACCGAGGTACGTGCCCTTAGCGGGAACCGAACCCGGGTCTCTCAGGACCGCAGGCCGACGCTCTAACCGCTGAACCAAACCGGCCAGGGCCCGTGGGTTTTTTTTAATGAGAACTTGAAACGTGTCAGCAGACTGAGGGTGGATGATGGCCAGAAGGGGAGGAACCGCTTATTGATTCCATCAGGAGTTCAGTGACCTGGGCTCACGCTCATACTCCCATCCCGCCCCCAGGCCCCGAGGGCCCTCCTTTTGCTTTGTAACTCGTTTCCTTGAGCCCGTAACTTCTCCCTGGTCGCTGGACCGGGGCAGCTCCCACCAAGTCTTCCTGTGAGTGCCCGAGTGTCCGCTCCTCACCGTCCTGCGGGTCACTTTCCCTCCCCTTCCGTCCTGCCCGTAGGAGTGACATGGAAGATTAGGTAAAGCAGAGACAAACCAGAAACTTGTCGCTCCTCTTCCTCCCTAAAGACATTTGGTTCCTTCGACTCGAGAACACAGCATGTCCCTGATGTGTTGGCGTTGCTCGGACCGCACGGAGGAAGGGGGTGGGGTCCCCTCCTCCTGGCTGTCGGAAAGGCTCCGCTAACGACACGACTCTCCTTTTCTCCAAGACAACGACGCGGAGCAGAGAGACCTGGCTCAGTCCTTGAGCCTGGTGAAGGAAGTGATCGGAGCCGTGAACAGCAAGGTGGCGAGTTACGAGAAGAAGGTACGTCTGAATGAGATTTACACGAAGACGGACAGCAAGTCGATCATGAGGATGAAGAGCGGTCAGATGTTTGCCAAGGAGGATCTGAGGCGGAAGAAGCTGGTGCGGGACGGGAGTGTGTTTCTGAAGAACGCGGCGGGGAGGCTGAAAGGTGAGTCCCGTGTTTCCTCCGGGCCTGAGCAGGTGCCCGGGGACGGCAGGCAAAAGCCAGAGTCTCGTTAGGAACTCACCACCAGGTTTTCCCTGGGAAGCCCGTGTCCAGACTTCACGAAGGAACACCACCGTTTAGTTGTTCTTACTCTTGTATGAGAAAGTCTGGTTTGAGATAGCTTATAAAATCATATAAATACAGCCCGGCCGGTGTGGCTCAGTGGTTGAGCGTCGACCCTGCACCAAGAGGTCGCGGGTTCGATTCCCAGTCAGGGCACATGCCCAGGGTGTGGGCCTGATCCCCAATGGGGGGCATGCAGGAGGCAGCCAATTGATGTTCTCTCTCATTGATGTTTCTCTCTCTCGCTCTAAAATCAATAAAGAAGAATTATTAAAAAATAAATAAAATCATATAAATACAGGACGTATACGAGGAAATGTAGTCTGGGAAAAGCAGGTTTTAGGGAACAGAGCAAGGGGTAGGATGAACACAAAGGCACGCGCCAAGGAAGGTCCCACAGGGAAGGACGACAGGCTGGGGACTGGGGCCTCTGGCAGAACATTTGCCCCCAGGGAAGCACCATGAGACAGTTCCCAGAGTCTGAGATGAGAAACACCTACATCACTGGCATGAAGATGTGAGGGGTTTTCAGCTCCTGCGACCTTAGAGCGATGGGGAATTACCTCACATCCACCAGATCCACTCAACTCTGTGGTCATCCCTTTTTCTCGAAGCAAAAGAGATCACAAGACATTTGCTTTCAGTTTGGTTTCAACTTTTGGTTTTCAAATGACCAACTACGTCCAGTTAAGGAAGTTATGAGGTTTGTTAATGCATCTGTCCATTTGATTTTTATCCTCACCCGAGGACATGGACATTTTTTTCCATTTTTTGTTCAGATAGAGTGGGAGGGAGGAGAGAGAGAGAGAGAGAGAGACATTGACATGAAAGGGACACATCGAGTGGCTGCCACCCGCACCACCAGCCAGGGCCGGGGACAAACTGCAACCGAGGTACGTTCCCTTAGCAGGAACCGAACCCGGGTCTCTCTAAACCGCAGGCCAACACTCTAACCGCTGAGCCAAACCGGCCAGGGCTGTCCATTTGATTTTTTAAAAATAATTGTTTTCATCCAACTTTACTCCCGGGGCCTGTTGGGCAGATCGGGCTCCAGTGTTTGGGAGCACCCGGTCCTCCTGGCCTCGGGAGCCGGGTCCAAGGAGCCAAACCCTCCCGCCTCACACTGAAGTGGCGGGTGTGTCTGTCACCTCTGAGGTCGAGGGAGCTGTTCAGAGAGCACCGGGAGCCCTCCGCCAGTCTCCCTGTGCTTAGACTCAGTGCGACCCAGGCAGCCAGATGGTCTCGAAGGGAAGGAAGCAGGATCCCCTCCCCCGACACAGATGCTGGGAAGAGGGTGGAGAGACTGTCCTCTGGCGGGTTGGGCCCTAGAATAGGGACCTGCAGTGAGGACCGGGGCAGGGTTCGGAGTGGCATTTAAGTCTTGAAGGATGAAGAGGAGGGGCCGGGCAGAAAGGGGAGAGGCAGCCGGAAGCCTGGCATCTGGGGAAGGGCAGGCAGTGGGCTCTCAGACCAGCCGAGAGAGGGCGGCAGGGAGCGGGGGGCCAGGCCGGAGGAAACGGCTGTAGGCGGGTTGTGGGGTGCACGCTCCAGACTGAGGAGTTGCTCGTTGGTACTGTGGATGGAGTTGAGCAAAGAAGGGGTTCAGAATGGAGGGTCCAAGCAGGCAAGGGGTGCAGCTGATTGTAGTCCAGTGCAAAGCGGGGTGAGGAAGTCTGGCGACAGAAACGACGAGGATCCCTGTTGCAGTGATTCAGGGAGCAGCTCCCCCAGGCCTGAATTCCCGCAGGGGGCGGGCAGAGGAAGGCGAGTCATCTCAGAAAGGAAATACCCCTCTGGCCACCGACTCCATGCACGGCTCAGTGGCCATGGGGAATCAGGACCGAGGTCCCTGCGCCTCCCTGGAGCCAGGTGCCCGTGCTGTCCTCGGCCCTGCGCCCCCTGCGCCCCCTGAACCCCCTGCACCCGTCTCTGCGGCGGCCGCTCAGGAACACCTGCCCTGTCCCACGAGGCGCTTTTCTAGAGCTGCCGCTGCCCGGAGCCAGCTCGCTCCACCCTCCTTTGCAAAGCAGTTTGTTGATCCAAGTCCCTGAGTCAAAACTAATAGCTTCCAGCTGTCGGAACGGAGCTGGGCCCCAGCCCGCGGCGGGACGATGGTTTTCTGACCCGAAAGGCCGCCAGAGGAGACAGGAGCCGGTGTTGAGTCATGCTCCCCCCACGTGACCCGCCGCCAAGAACAGCCCGTCCCGGGTGGGTGCCCCGGGGAGGGCGGGTTCGCTCTGCTCCCCTGACTGATCACATCCACTGCGGGATCCTGAAACGTGTGTTTTCTTGTTCTGGGGGCGGGGCAGCCGCATGCATCACCTAAAAGTAAACTCAAAAAGGTAAAGGTAGCGCATGGAAAAGTTACTGTCACCTAGGCTGGGAAACGACACCTCCTTGCGTCTGTTCTGTTCATGGCTGTGCCGCGCTGACCTCCCGGGGGGCTGCATGGTCCTGTCCATCCTGTCCCCCCGGCATTGTAGGTCCTCGTCCCCGGAGAGAGGACGCCACTGGGGGCCAGCCTCTCAGATCTCAGAGGATGACCGACATGTCAGACTCTGTCCTTGAGGGACTGATGGAAGATTGTTCTCTGCTCCTAGAGAATTATAGCGAGAGTGTGGCCTTCTTGCGATTCCTAGATCCCGCCAGACATGTTCGTTTCTCTGGTTTCTGTTTTGTTTTTTGTTGTTGGCGGTGTTGCAGAGATCTCCCGGGTTTGTTTTCTTTTCCTGGAGAAGCCGAGAGGCTGTTCCCACAGCACAGCGAGGCCGAGGCGGACGGGACAGAAAGCTGTGTGTGTGCACGTCCTGTGAAATCAGAGGGCGGTTGTGGCCCTTCTGTTCTCCTTAGAGTTAGATGCTTTCCTGCACCAGCTCCTGGCGGCTTCCTTGCCTGGCAGCTGCCCACGCCTTTCCCACCCCTGTAATCAGAGGTGAGAAGCCCCGTGACCAGTGTGCTGTGGGCCATGCTGCTGTTTAACATCCCTCAAAGACCTGCTCTGCGGGGATGTTCTTAAAGTATTTCATTCTTACAACCTCGCCTTCTGGGATGTCTCTTTCCAGAAGTGAGGACTTAAACGTTTCCGAGATAAGGCGTTGGTGATACAAGTCTCTTTTTATTTTATTATTATTTTTTTTATCCTCACCTGAGGATATTTTTCCATTTTTTGTACAGATAGAGTGGGAAGGAGAGAGAGAGAGAAACATCGATGTGAAGGGACACATCGAGTGGCTGCCACCCGCACGACCAACCAGGGCCGGGGACAAACTGCAAGCGAAGTACGTGCCCTCAGCGGGAACCGAACCCGGGTCTCTCCGGACCGCAGGCCGACGATCTAACCGCTGAGCCAAACTGGCCAGGGCCAAGTCTCTTTTTAAAATGTCTCTAAAAACCTAACATCCAGAGCAGGGTCGCGCAGAAATGGATATTGGACGCCTTGGAGGAGCGCGGTCTCTGGCCCTGGGCTTTTTGTGCTGCTGGGTTGCTAATAGAACTGCTCAGACCGTGCCCGGCTGGTCAGACTTTGTCCCTTCAGGGAATGATGAGAGGTGGCAGGGACAGCGAGCGTTTGGGGTGTGCTTCTCAGTATCATTGTTCTCTTCTCTCCCCACTTCACAGAGGTCCAGGCCGTTCTGCTCACTGACATACTAGTTTTCCTTCAAGAAAAAGACCAGAAGTACATCTTTGCGTCACTGGTAAGCTGAGTGTTTGTGCGGTTTGGAGTTAATGGTAGTATTCAGGCAGTTGGGGGTAAGTTTTGAGCATACGTTAAACACTGTATTGTTGGTCTCCCACCCTCTCAAAACTAATCCGCTCAGGACAGATACGTCTGAATGATTTCTTATATACCCTTGCAATTTTCTGGCCCTCCACTGCCCGCCCCCCGAAAATACTGTTTTTCGGTTTCCTTACAATCCTTGGACATGGGTCACTGGAGCAGTTCTCACGTATTACGCTCCATCGATCATGCTGCTCTGTAATACTGCCGCCGGGTTCTGCGGGGGACGTGGGCGAGTCATCGTGCTAAAGAGAGGACGAGAACCTTCAGAGCCATAAATGGCCATTTCCTTTATGGAACACTATAAACGGTTTGATAAACTGTTTATAAACTGATAAACTATAAGTGAGATAACGACATATTTCTCTTTCTCCCATCTCTGCTGTTTGTTAAACCGTATGCTTTAAAAAGGCATCTGGCCCGGCCAGTGTGGCTCGTGGTTGAGGGTGACACATGCAGCAAGAAGTCGCCGGTTCGATTCCCGGGCAGGGCACATGCCCAGGTTGTGGGCCTGATCCCCAGTGGGGGGCGTGCAGGAAGCGGCCAGTTGATGTTCTCTCTCATCGATGTTTCTATCTCTCTCCCTCTCCCTTCCTCTCTCTCTAAAGTCAATAAAGAAAAAAACATTTTTTTTAATGAATAGATAAAAGGGCATCTGGTCTCCCCTGAGATTGACATCCCCCTTACGAGTTAGAACATCGCGTGCATGTCCTACATCTCCCCTCCCCCTTTTCCAGGACCAGAAATCAACGGTGATCTCCCTGAAGAAGCTGATCGTGCGGGAAGTAGCGCACGAGGAGAAAGGTCTGTTCCTGATCAGCATGGGCGTGAAGGACCCGGAGATGGTGGAGGTCCACGCGAGCTCCAAGGAGGAGCGGAACAGCTGGATCCAGATCATCCAGGACACGATCAACGCCCTGTAAGCTCCCCCGCCCGTCGGCGCGCTCGGGCCTGCGGTGTCCTCCCAGGCTGGGCCGTCCCCGGAGCACTCGTCTAGCAATGTTGTTTCACTTTGGTTGTATTAGGAACAGAGATGAAGATGAAGGCATTCCCAGCGAGAGTGAGGAGGAGAAGAAAATGTTGGACCTCAAAGCCCGGGAACTAAAAGGTAAAGCTGTCTGTGGAGCCCCCAGTGGCCAAGGTTCTTCCCAGGCCCCGGGTTCCAGAGCCGCCCCGCAGGCCCTTGAAAACAGGGTGAAGAGCAGCTTTTCACAAAGGGGAAACCACGTCTGAGCTAACGGGGTCCCGATACAAAACAGCTCTAGGAATGTGTCCGACCCCAGATCAAGGATTGTTGATTCTCCCGTCTCAGCATCAGAGTTCTTGGACCTTTGGTCCCGGTCACCTCGAATCAAATCAAGAAGGAAAGGTGTACTCGAGGAAGGGAATTTCCCAGTTAATCTGTTTCCATCAGTTACCCCGGCTGCTGGCCCACCTGTTCACAGATGCGTTGTGAGGTGGTTCGGGGGGAAGGGAACCTCTTGATGATGTGTGACCACATTTAAGTCCCTACTGGTTTGTGTAGTCTCGTCAGTGTCCCTGCGGGACTCGGCTTCAGTGCCCATTGTGCAGGTGAGCAAGCTGAGGTCCACAAAGGCCGAGCACACCAGGCCCCATCCAGCGTATGGTTCAGCCAGGGGTTTGCTCCCTGCCCGCGTCGGATGTACCTGTCCGTGATCAGGATGGCGGGGATGAACTTCCTCCTCCGACACGGATGCAGCACCTGGCCAGGCATCCCGCTGGGTGCCGGGGATGCCAATTCCTACACCAGCTCAGCTAGCCAGGGAGACACACTGAGGGACAGGCCACCAAGTGGCTCCCTGGGCCACAGGCTCATGTAACGTGTATGGGACCTCCTAGTCCTGCCGGTGGTGAGTCTCACAAGAAAGATGACACAGGAGGGTACCTGGAAAAATGACTCAGCAGACAAGACAAATGAGTGAAGTGTGGGAAAGGCCGTGATGTGTCCCCCAAGGAAGGACAGGTTTGACAGGCTCCGTGTGTCTGGAGGGTCAGGGCCAAGTGATGGGAGATGAAGGCACCAGGTCTTGAAAGGCAACAGGGAATGAGATAGTTCTTAGTAAAATTTACACTTCACTTTAAAAAATCAGTATTGAAGCCAACTGGGAGACGTGCTTGAGGGAGTGGGGTCCCTCTGGGCGTGGGGAGACGGGATGGGTTCAGGAAGAAGCGGGCTGGAGAGGGGATGGACGTAAGAAATGAGCTGTCCCGGGGCTCCAGCTTGGGTGAGCAGGGGACAAAGGTGGTGTCAACCGAGCAAGAGGTCACGGCTAAAGGGAGGAGGTGGGGGGCCGGAGGGAGACAGGTTTCTGACAAGCTGAGAACAGGGGTCTGAGTGGAGGTCGCCTTGACAGTGGGACTCAGAGGGTCCCACTCAAAGCAGAGGGTCGAGTCTGGGGTACCTTCTGTGGGTGATCAGCACCTGGGGAGTACTGGGAGCCATGGGAGTGGATGAGATTCCCAAGAGGAAAGTCTTGGGGTTAGACAGCAGCCCAGGCTGGAGCCAGGGGACCCCCCTTTTCCATTGCAGATGACTGGTCTGTGCCTGAGAGCGGATTTTAGGAAGAGAACCAGTGATGTCCTCAGAGGAGAGAGGAAAACAGTAAAGAGGAGGGAGGAATCATCTGTGCTGAAACGGATGACATAAAAATCCTTAGACTCAGTCCCGCAGGCTGACCTTGGGAAGAGGAGATGGTAATGATGGGCGGAGCCAGAGAAGAGAGGGTTGAGAACAAGAAGTTGGGGAAACAGTGCTGGCTTGTGATGTCCCAAAGTCCCATGTTTGCCTAGAAAGACCAGGGTGGGTTACTAGGTAGAAAGTAGAGAAGAAAACTTGACACAGTCTTGATGATGAATAATAAAGGGGGCGGGGGGAGTTTATGGTCTCGCTGTGCCCTACATTACCACAAGGTGGCGCCCATGCGAAGCAGTCAAATCACCAGCTCTGTTCTCCGTCCACCCTGCAGAGCAACTCCAGCAAAAGGACCAGCAGATCCTGCTCTTACTGGAAGAGAAGGAGACGATTTTCCGGGACATGACTGAGTGCAGCACCCCCTTGCCGGAGGAGTGCTCCCCAGTTCACAGCTCTAGGATGCTCTTCCGCTCCAACACAGAAGAGGCTCTCAAAGGAGGACCTTTAATGAAAAGTGCAATAAATGAGGGTAATTTATGTTCATTATTGCCCCTTCTTTTCCCAGTGTGGTTTATCCACTAATACTCATTTTTATTGCAAAACAGAACACAGATACAGAAAACAACCCCAAACAAATATTTCGCTTTAGTGAGTTATCGGGTGAGCTTTTTTTTTTTTTTTTAATTGATTTTCGTCAGAGAGGAAGTGAGGGAGGAGAGAAAAAGACAGAAACGTCGACCAGTTGCCTCCCATACGTGCCCTGGGACTCGAACCCGCAACTTTTTGGTGTACGGGGTGACGCCGCAACCAGCTGAGCCACCCAGGCAGGGCCAGTGAGCATCTTGTAACCACTGCCCAGGCCAAGAAATAAAATGTGGCCGGACACCCTGAGAGCCCGTGTACATCTGTCCCCATCAAAGCTCCATCCTCCCGCCGAGAAGCGCAGGTGTTGTGACTGTCAGTGATCACGTCTGTTCCTGTCTCTTCTGGCTTTCTCTCCAGAGACCTCTTTGTAGTCTGGCTTGTGTTTTTCTTGATACGTAAGCTGTCGTTTACAGACCCCTCCCACCATCCCTTTTTTCCACACAATTTATTTTTGTAGAATCTGAGCTTTTTGACATACAGGGTTTGCATGTCTCCTGTTTCCAGTGGAGATCCTTCAGAGTCTGGTGAGCGGAAGCCTGGGAGGCAGTCTCGGGCCGGCTGTCAGCAGCCCCGTTGGGCAAGAAGGTGCGGTTGGCCCGGTGTCCTTGCCCCGCAGGGCGGAAACCTTTGGAGGGTTCGACAGCCATCAGATGAATGCGTCCAAAGGTAAGTGATTGTGAACTCGTGGCTTCGTGGGCAGTCCTTGCCGTCACCCAGAACTAAAAGTGGTCTGTGATCAAGAAGCTGCATCTCATCCTCCTCAGTCCATCAGTAAAAGGTTTAGTGAGATCCGAGTATCTAGCCGCTGAAACACTTAAGAATCTCTATCAGTGTCGTGTTCATTTTGAATAATGAGGATATTCCTCGGATCTGAGCTAAGCTCTAGCCAAAGGAATAAATAACTTGTTATTCCATTTGCTTCTTGTTCTTCTACATTAATAAAGATTGTTTTATATATGTTTTTATTGATTTTTTTTTTTTAAGAGGGAGAGAGAAAAAGATCGATGTGAGAGAGAAGCATCAATCGGCTGCCACCTGCACACCCCTCACTGGGGGTTAAGCCCAAAACCCAGGCGTGTGCCCTGACCAGGAATCGAACCACGGACCTCTCAGTCCACAGGACGATGCTCAATCCACTGAGCCACACCGGCCGAACTGCATCAGTAAAAGTTATTAATAATCGCTTAGCTGCCTCCAAGCGGCTTCCCATTTTTTTGGCTTTAGCGAGATCAGAAATATATCCCTAAACTCGGTATATTGTATTCTTTTCTTGGCTAATCTGCTTCACAACCTAAAATCAAACTTGTTTGTTTGTTTAGGAGGAGATAAGGAGGAGGGGGATGATGGCCAAGATCTTAGGAGAACAGAATCGGATAGTGGTCTGAAAAAGGTACTTTTCCTAAAATACGATAAGACCTCCTTGGCCCTTCTCTCTGAATTCATAATCTTTGAAGTTTGTCCACTTTGATCTTCTTCTGGATGCCTGACTTGCTCTTTTGATTTCCTAGTGTATTTTAAGAGGAAAACGTATTTTCGAACACACAGTGCAGTCAGGAGTCCCCGTATCACTGGCCTCTCTAGCCTGGAGCTTTATGTATACATTCATAGCTTGACTACAGCCCTGGCAAGACCATTTTCAAGAGTTTTGTTTAAATGGCCCAAAGCAACCTGAACTGAACTCTTTATAAGGCTTGAGTAACAGCTCAACATCGAGTCTTCATTACCCGGCAGGGAGAGGCTGTAGCAGAACAGGACGAAAGTGGGACATTGCAGCGGAGCCCAGACATACTCGATCCAATTCCTGTCTCGAGAGCTTCGTGTTTTTAAAATGCGTGGTTTTTGTTTTATAGGGTGGAAATGCTAACCTGGCATTTATGCTTAAAAGACACAATGAGGTAAGGACCTTCTGAGCTACTGAAGAGTGATTTTGTTGTAATTGCTAGGTTAGGAATACTCATTTTTGTTTGGCTTGTATAAACAGGCTGATTCCTGGCTGTGCTCTGCATACTTCATGGGGTGTTTGTCATGTCTTTCCCCGGCCCCTGGTGTCACCTGGCATTGTGCCAGGGAATTGGCTATGGAAATGGCCTCTACTCCTCTGCCCTTGAGAAGCCTCTTGCTTTCTCTGAATCCGGGCTGTGAAGCTTCATCCATTGTAGGCAAACGAGGACAACTCATAGTCTCCTTTTCTGTAATAGGAACCTGGACTTCATGCCACAAGTCTAGAATGTGGCACATTAACGTGTGGGCAGATCTGCGATCATTTCTTAGCCTACAGGGATGCAAGTTGACTTTTTATCTTTGTGCCCTGCTTTTGATTCGTGTGCGGCACTCTGAAAGGGGCCTTGGCGTCCTTTGGAGATCAGACTCTGATTTGAGGCTTTTCCATCGTCCTTCAGCAGAGTCCGCCGATCCTGCAGGATCACTGGACTTCTTCACTGTCTCCCTTCTCCCTGCAAGTCCTTCGATCGCCACCCTCTCCAAACTGGATTGTCTGAGCGTGTGATTCTGTGTGAGCACGGACTGGAGTTACGTGCCTGACAGTGGTCTTTCGGGAGTGTGCCTTTCAGGATCTTCTCTGGGTTTCTTCTTGCTTTCAACCTAGTGCCTTATGTTCCTGAGAAGCCCTGTTTTGAAGTTTTACATTAATGGAGTCTTTCCTCTTTCCTTCTGAAACACAGGGATATTGTTTTCTATTTGTTGGCATGGAAGTCCAAACGCCGTGGTCTCCCGGAGTGTTTGTCCTTAAACGAAATAGACCTGTTGTCACAGGCTGTTGCTCGTGGTGTCTAGTGCTAGAAGTACAGCTCTTTTCTGACTTTTCCATTTGGCCACGTCTCTCCGTATATTTAGTAAGAAGCGTCAGCTCAGAGGTAGGATACGACCAGGGTATTCTAGGCATTTTGGCTTGGATTGCACACTCCTGGTGCTCAGTCATACTTCTCTCTGCCTCTCTTTTTCTCTCTTTATTAAGAATAAGCTTAGGGGAAGGGGGGCAGGGTGTCAATGGGGGAAAAATGAGAAACATCTGTAACAAAAACATTAATAAATAAAAAAACTTAAAAAAAAGAAGCTTAAATGAGAGGTAAAAAGTACTCTCAGAAATGCTAAGCCTGAGAATTATGTTGTTTTGTGTGTTTTTAAGTATTATAAAAGGAGTACATATTCGTGGCAGAAAATCTGAAAAATGTCTAACTAATAATGTTAAAAAAAATGGGTAAACATAATCTCACCAAGGACAAATAACTAGGGTTCAATGTTCGGTGCTTCTGATTCCAGCCTTTTCTTCTACAAAACATATATGTGTTTCTAAATCTTTATTGTTGAAAGTATTACAGATGCCCCTCCCCCTTTCCCCCATGGACCCCTCCCCATCCCACCCCCTCCTGCCTTCCCCACACTATTGTCTGTGTTCCTTGGTTTACGTAACATATATTTATGTGTCTAAGTCTGTGTGAATAGTATAACAAGAGTGTCACACAACTTCTCTCACTACTTCCCAGAGGTTCACGTCTCGGAGCTTTTTCCCCTAACACGCGTTAGAAGCATCCCCGGAGCACATTTATCCGGGCGTGCTCAGGAACAGCTGCAGGCTGTGCTGGGTGTCCCATAGTCCACTTAGTCTTCCAGCGGTCCCTCTTTCTCTGCTCTTCTGCTTTTTATGTGATGCAGCCGAGAAGCCCTTGTCCATGACTACTTCCTGAGTGCAGGCTGCCCCCCAGAAAGGGGGTTCTGCCGCGTGTAACCCTGCCCGTCAGCAAACACCCCTTCTCGTCTTTCTTCAGTCTAACGCTCTCCCAACTGACCTTCTCGTCTTTCTTGACCACCATCGGGGATTTTCATTCTTTAATTGAGGTTTTATTGGTTTGATGCATTCAAGTGGTATTTCTTTGGTTGGCACTTACTTGATTTCCAGCGAGGCTAAGTCATTCTTAATGTGTGATACGACTGGTCGTTTGTATTTCTTTCCTTGTAAATTGCTGGTTTGTGTTCCTGGCCTGTTATCCTCTGATTGTATTCATTTCTCACAGGTCTCTGAGAGCTTCTTCCAATCGAAGATCTTTCTTGTTTGACTTTCTGTTCAGTTTGTCCTTTCTGCCTTTTACTTTTACATTTCACATAGTGGAAGTTGAAGATAATGTGCGTGTGTGTGTGTGTGTGTGTGTGTGTGTGTGCTTTCTTTCCATGGCCTTCTGCCTTTGAAAAGCATTTTCTGTTTCAAGATAAGAAAAACAATCTCCTATTTCTTTTGGCTCTTTTATGGTTCTCTTTCACACTTGACGGTTTCATCTGTGTGAATGTGTTTAGTGCGAGCCAGGGTTCAAACTTAATTTCTTCCAAAGGCTTAGCTAATTTTCTCAGAAAAATTCATTGACTATTCTTCCCAGTTGATTTAGAAGTGCTACTTGTAGCAGATAGTAAATTCTTGTCCTTGGCTTCATGACCTGCTGTTCTTTCCGACTGGGCTGTGCGTCATTCTGAGTAACGGGAGCTCTAGAATACGTTTTACCGTGTGCCGATGTCTCTTCTACACACAGTTGTCTGGTCGTCTTTCGTTTTCCTTGGCTACTTGTACCTGCTTCTTCTCTTTGGTGCTTTCAGTCTGCAGATATTTTGTTGAGAGCAGGCGCCTTGCTGAGTGTTGGGAGGTTCCTGGTCGGGTGACAGGCAGTGTGGCGGGATCTGAGGCGGTCCTGACGCGGGTCCCCGCTGTGTTCTCTGCAGCAGGTCGTCCAGAGCGTGGTTCATCTGCACCAGCTGCTCAGCACTTTGCAGGTGTGTGCCCCTCCCTCCCTTCTTCCCAGAAAAATGGTAAGGAGGGCGTGGTGTGGGCCCGGACTGTTTGCTGACTTCTCACCCGAGGATGTTTCCATTGATTTTTAGACAGAGTGGAAGGGAGGGGGGAGGGAGGAAGGGGGAGAGAGAGAGAAACATCGATGTGAGAGACACACATCAATCGGTTGCCACCCACACAACCCCAACCGGGGCAAGGGACCAAACCTGCAACCCAGGTACGTGCCCTTGACCGGAATCGAACCCAAGCCCCTTTGGTCCGAGGGCCGATGCTCTAACCGCTGAGCCCAGCTGGCCTGGATCTCTGAGTCTGTAGGTTGCTTACGGGTAAGCGGGACCTCAGTCTAGACAAGACCGGCTCTGGGACGAGGACCGTCTCAGACGCAGTGGTTGGATACCCTCAGCCTTCCGAGCCTGGCTTGGGGACGGGTGGCGGGCAGTCGTACTGTGGTGGCCGTGCACAGGCGGTCACCACACTCTGCAAAGACTCTCGTGTGTGCGTTTCCCTGTCCCATGTCTCTGGTACCGGGACATGTGGCCCTCACGAACAGCTCTTCTGGGAACACCCTCTAATTCCGCTCACTTTCATCTTGGAAATCTAACCAATCTCTGGCTACCTGCCCCCACCTCCAAACACACACTGCCCACCCCAGGCAGTGCCGGTGACTGCAGACAGCAGTGACGAGTCCGACAGACGGACACATTGACGTCCCTGTTCGATACCTGCCCACAGTTCTCCTGGGGTGTGCTCTGTGCAGTGACCAGGGCCCCGGGCACGGGGGCAGGAGGGGCAGGGAGCCTGCCGTCCTGGCCAGGGCTGCATCTGTCTCCTCCGGCGCTTCCACAGGGGGTGGTGCTGCAGCAGGACAGCTACATCGAGGACCAGAAGCTGATGCTGAACGAGAGGGCTCTCAGCCGGAGCGCGCCCCGCCCCAGCTCCCTCGTGGAGCAGGAGAAGCAGCGCAGCCTGGAGAAGCAGCGCCAGGACCTGGCCAACCTGCAGAAGCAGCAGGCGCAGCACCTGGAGGAGAAGCGCCGGCGGGAGCGGGAGTGGGAGGCCCGGGAGCGGGCCCTGCAGGAGCGGGAGGCCCGGCTGGCCCAGCGCGAGGAGGAGGTGCAGCGGGGGCAGCAGGACCTGGAGAGGGACCGGGACGAGCTGCAGCAGAAGAAGGGCGTCTACCAGTACGACCTGGAGAGGCTGCGCGCGGCGCAGAAGCAGCTGGAGAGGGAGCAGGAGCAGCTGAGACGGGACACGGAGCGGCTCAGCCAGCGGCAGGGCGACCGGGACATCTGTCAGGTAACGAGAGCCAGGAGCAGATGCGGTGCCTGTCACCGATGCGGCCAGGACACAGCTGACACAATGGAGAGCCTCTGTGTCTAAGCACCGGGGGGACGTGGGCGGAGATGCAAGGTCAGCGTGTTTGTTTTTGTAAGAATGTCTTCCTTCGTAAAAGGGGCAGGTGAGGAAGAGGGTCTTTTCTCCTTTTCTCATCTGCAAGAGGTTGAGGAGCAGGATGGTAGGCTGGGGATTTGGTCAGGGAGGTAGTGGCAGCTTAGGGGCTGACCGGTACTTCCTCAGCGTGTCTGAGACAGCGGTGGTCAGCCAGCTGGGGTTTCGGGAGCAGCCTCTTCTCTGTCCCACATAAGACATCAGAAGGGTCCAGCCCTGGCCGGTTTGGCTCCGCGGTTGGATCATCAGCCCACGGACCAGTGAGTCATGGGTTCATTTCCGGTCAAGGGCAATTGCTGGGTTGCATGGTCCCTTATGCTTGGTGCACTTCCCCCATCAGCTACAGGTCCCTTTAGGTGGGACCATTCTGATTGCTTTGGTGTTTTCCAGTCCTCACCCGAGGATATTTTTCTACTTATCTTCTGATAGAGGAGGAAGGGGGGAGGGAAAGGGAGAGAGAGAGGGAGAGGGAGAGTGAGCAACATCCATGTGAGAGAGACATATCGATTGGTTGCCTCCCACACCACCCCAGCCAGGGCCAGGGATCAAACTGCAACCAAGGTACATGCCCTTGACCAGAATCGAACCCACGATTCTTTGGTCCGCAGGCCAATGCTCTAACTGCTGAGCCAAACCAGCCAGGGCAGCAGCTCTTCTTACATAGAGAGGAAATCCATGCTGGGGGTGCTGGTGAAGACTCCTTCTCTGTAGCTGCTACTCCTGTGGGAAGAAGGCTTTTCCTTCTGCAGCTCCCACTCCGAGTCTCTTCCTGTGGGCTCCATGGTTATTCTGAGTTGGGCGCCGGGGCAGATGGGAAGCCTGGGCGTGCACAGGTCACCTGTCTAGATCCCTGCCATTCCTTTGCCATTTGATTGACTGACCTTGCGCCATGAACAAGGGACATCTTCTAGAACGGGCAGCTCTGCTTCCTGCCGAGGTTGCCGCGTGTGGTGGGAGCAGCAGGTAGCTCTGCACTGCTGACCACGCAGGAGGGCCCCTCTCAGCCCAGTGGGGTGGGCGGGGCTGCCACAGGTGCCCAGAGCACGCGCGTGTTCGGCTGCTTGTCTTCATCTCGCCCTGTCTTTGCTTTCGCCTGTGACTAGAATCTGGGTGTACACCCCACTCTCCACCTGCCTCCTTATCTGAACAGCTTCCGGAATCTCTTAGCCGCGAAATGATTACATGTGTAGCAGTCAGTCCTCAGATCGGCAGCGCCCCTGTTTTTTTAGGGGTGAGAGTTCTTTTTAAGCTGCCTCATCCCAGATCTTACTAATTCTTTTTTTTTTTTTTAATTTTTTAATCCTCACCCGAGGATATATGCTTCTATTTATCATCAGACAGAGTGGGAGCGAGGGAGAGAGAGGGAAAGAGAGAGAGAGACACTGACATGAGAGAACTCGCCGAGTGGCTGCCTCTTGCGCGACCCACAAACTGCAGCTGAGGTGCGTCCGAGCGGGCACCGGTGCCGCCGCCTCTAAGAACCCCTTCTCTTGCACGCCTGCAGGTCGCACACCAGCACACCAAGCTGCTGAGGATCCCATCCTTCCTCCCCAACCCCGAGGAGCCCCCCTCGCCGTCTGCACCTTCAATAGCCAAATCAGGATCGTTGGACTCAGAACTCTCAGTGTCCCCCAAAAGGAACAGTATTACTCGGACACACAAAGACAAGGGGCCTTTTCACATACTGAGTCCCACCAGCCAAACCAGCAAAGTCCCAGAGGGTCCAAGCCCCACCTCGGTGCCCACCTCCTCCTCCAGCCGCCTGTTCGGATTATCAAAGCCAAAGGACAAGAAGGAGAAAAAGAAGAAGAACAAAGGAGGCCGCGCTCAGCCCGGTGGTGAGTCCCCCAGTTTCCTGTGGCCGTGTGGTCCCTGGACCCCGTGCAGGGCAGGGGTTAGTGCAGTGGGACAGGACAGGGGCCATTCAGTGGAGAGCCAGACGGTTCTCACCAAGCCCACTTCTGGGCGCGGAGGGCCGAGGCGCCGGTGCAGGAGCGTCTCAGACCTGCCCGTGGTCCGTGCAGGGGGCGGGGGGCAGGCGGCCCGGAGGGGCAGGCCAGTCTCTGCGCTCCCAGCCTCGCCCAGCAATCCGCCCAGTAATCCACCGCGGTAACTGGTTCTCCGAGATGCCCGAGATCGCCCTCCTGGTGACTGTTAGGCGATGCTCGCTCGCCCCGATGAGACAGGCCAGCAACCTGCACTTAGAGTGTCTGCGGGCCTCCGCCTCGGAGCTGTGATCGGTCCCTGCTACCCCCCCCCACCCCCACCCCGGGCTCTCCGCCCCTCCGCACTGGGTGCGCCCCCTGCCCCGGCCTGGGCGTGACCGGGAAGGCGGCGCGGAACCTCATTCAAGTCCACGGCCACCAGCCGTCATCTGTGTGCACCTCAGAAAACTTGTGTCTGGGGGGGGGGGGGGGAGGGCGAGGGGGTTCAGTTTTTTCTGAATGTCTTTTTCCTTCTTGTTCCCCCGTCTCCAGATGGCCCTGCGGCAGAAGTGCCCGCCGAGGGGGAGGAGATCTTCTGCTGACCCCTCTGCTCCGCTGACCCAGCCACCGGCCCCTCCTGCTGTGCGCACGCGCTGTGGTCAACCCCGAGCTCTTCCAGCGCGCTTCCTGCTGTGCGCACGCGCTGTGGTCAACCCCGAGCTCTTCCAGCGCGCTTCCTCTTGTGCGCACGCGCACGCGCCCTCGTCCAAGCCGTTCTTCCAGCGCCCCTCCTACGGTGCGCACGCGCACTCGTCCGCACGACCCGGCTGTGGACCGAGGACGGAGCGTCCTGGGCTTACCCACCTGGTCCCTGCCAGCAACTGCCGGGGTGGGACCGGCCCTGCCGAGGGTGCCACACTGAGAGGTGTCCCCAGAGGTCCAGGCGATGATGTTGGTCATGTCAGGACTTCCTAAAAGCTGAAAGCATGTTTGCAAATGAGGCATGAAATGCTGGCTGCCTTTTATTTTGGGGGACAGACTGCAGACCCACAGCAGGTAGTGTGGACTGTCCGTGTGTACACGCGCTGACCCGTCTGCACAGACGCCGGGGAGCCAGCAGACCACGCGGGCGCCCGCATCTCCCCGCTCCGCCTCCGGGGGGTCCCACCCCCACACCTCATGCCTGCTGGCCTGTCTCTCGTGCCACTCCGGAAGGGATGGCACACATTTGTGCAAACCCGTGAGAAGACTTGATGCGATGGAAAAACATGATCTGCACCACATTGATGTTGATGTCACCCCAAAAAAGTATCTCATTTTATTAGTGAAGAGACCCCCCACGGGCTGTCCAGAGGTTGCCCACAGCCTCTGGGTGCCCATGGAGTGTGCAGGTCTCCTGGCCATCACCCCTGCCGTGTGACACTTTTTGGTTGTCACTGATCACTCAGAAGTGGCCACGGCCTCCTGACAATCTTCCTGAGGTCTCGTGATGACTCCCCAAGGGGAGCCGTTCCTGCCTGGTCCTCCCTGTGGGGGACAGCGGCCCCCTTGGCACTCCCAACAGGGAGTCTCCTGCGGAGCGTGTCCCCACCCCTGTGCCGGGCGCTGGCTGAGCAGTCGGTTCAGGTGACGGTGTTCAGCCCATGCGTGGTGGTCTTCACCAGGACAGGTGACAAGGGCCGCTCTGCGTGTGGCCTGGGAAGGTTCTCATTCTGTGTCAGGAGGCCTTGGCAAAATCTCAGTTTCGAAAAAAATTTTTTTAATCTAAAGTTCTGTTGGTTGTTTTCTGCCACTTGAGGCCTCCAATGCTGCCTGTGTTTTATGTTTTCTCTCCTCTCCTGTTTCCCTCTGGGTTCGGGTCTGTGTTTGGCTCCAGCTTGTCACCAGCTGGGAGGTGCCCGGCCCCGTGGGCGTTCCCCCGAGGCCCCACCCCCCCGTCCGGGAGGGCCTCTGGGCTGTGCCTTCAGTGTGGCCTTCGGGTCCTGCCTTGTGCCGCTCAGGAGCACGTGTCTTTGACCTTACTTTTTAAAAAAAACAAAAAAAAAACAACCCTGTAACTTGGTGCTTGTTGATGAATTGCAAGCTGGCCTTGCAGAAGGAGATATTTATCTTTCAGTTTATTTGAAAGAGGTCTGGTTTAAAATTGTTAGCTTAGATTTGTTTTATTTATTGTGTGCGTCTGTGTCCGTGTCTGCGTCTGTAAGGGGAACATCCTGTCCCGACCGTTTCAACGATCCCATCACTGCAGAATGAGCAGCGGCCGGCTGCCTGCTCTCTGTCAAGGGCCTTGAAGGCCCAGAACAAAGGAAGGTCGGGGAAGCTGTCCCTTTCCGTCCCCTCCCACCCCACCACATTCTTTGACCAAGGGAGCTCTTCTTGCTTGAGAGTTAAGAAGCTGGCCACCTAGGAGGGACATTTGCCCGCTTTTCTCATCACAGTTTCCTGTCCTTCAGTAACAGACTTGAGGGAAAAAACCAGCTGATCTTTCTCTCGAAACCCTGCTCCGCGGCACAGGCCTGCCCGTCCTGCTGTCCCTGGGGCTGCGCTCGCCGAGGGGACCCCTGCGGCTCCGTGTCTCAGCAGCCTCCTCTGCTGGAAGGAGGCCCTGGAAAGGCAGGGCCGCCTCCCCTGCGCTCTGGGCTGCAGCAGGACGGGCTCGTGCCGGTGTCGCTGGTGTCGGCACGGAGGGGCTGTGGGCTCTGAGTTCTGTGCGTGGCTGCACAGCTTGGTTTCAGTCCGCAAGCCCCGACCCGTGCGTGTGCTCATGACCTTGAGAACTGCTGTCACCGGTCTGAGCCGCGTCTGGGTTCTTTTCCTGGGGGAAGGGCTGTCTTCTTGGGTGACTTGGGTTCAGTGTGCAGTGTCCCTGCACGAAGTTGTGCTTCTTCAAGCCAAAAAACACCAGAGGCCCAACACTGGTCAACGTTCTGGGGGGACGGGGGGAGACACCTCCCGGAGTCCTCGGGTTTCCCGCTTCTGGTGTCTCTTCTCTGTGTTGTCATCTCAGTCGTCGTCATCCCCGTTGGGTGGCGTGCACTTCACACGCTGCCATCAGCTGGCTCCGTTTTTGTGACAGCTTGCCTTTGAAAACGGAGAGGGTTAAAAACACACATGTTGCCATACTGCGGCCTTTGCCAACATCCTACCCTCTACCCCCGGACAGCAGGGGGCAAGGAGTCTGGGTCGAGATCTTTTTTTGAAGAGGTACGAATCCGACCTTTTGCCCTGTCGAGTCTCAGGGCGGTACCCCTGACCCTTGTCCCTTTGCTCATCTGTCCCTGATGTGTTCCTAAGCCCCGGAATTAGCGGCAGTGAGCACACATGTCCAGGCCCCTGGGGGTTCGTTGGTGTCCAGAGGACAGCCAAGCCCTGGGAGGGGTCTAGAGAGACTGTCCTGGTGAGGGGGCCCGGGTGGCCACAAAGAGGGCGGTTTGGAGGGGACACTGCAGAAGGGCGTTGACACCCCCACCCCTTCCTGCTCGATGCCCTTGGAATGCCATGCCCAGAAATCAGCCTGTAGAGTGAGCGGTGGTTGGCAGAGGTGGAGAGAGGTGTGACTCTCCTTCCTTCTGCAGGACCGCTGGACACACACGACTAAGGTCCCGAGTGGCCGTCCCAGCCCAGCACTGTGTCCCTTTGGTTCTTCCTCTTCCTTTCAATGTAGCATTAACATTCCTAGTTAACCAGAGCTTTGGAACCAACCGCCTGCTGGCCAGGTTTTAAAATGCAAAGTATTTTGATGCTGCCATAAAAGGAGAAACAAAAAAAACAAGAACAGAACAAAGGCTTCCTTCCGTGTCTTTGTCTAATTTAATTTGTCAAAAGATGACAGGCCTTGAATTATTTCATCCTGCTAAGGTTTGAAGACGGGCAAATCTATGCGGTTAGTCTCCGGCCACAGACCGAGCTGACCTGCTGCAGACACCCAGTCTGAGCCCGGCCTTTGCCGGCGCCTCCCTGCTGTGAACCCAGAGGTTCCGGACCTCCAGCCTCTGCGCACCCTGGTCTTCACCCTGCTTGTCTTCAGGAGACGGGCCTGCCTGCGGTCACGGCTCAGCCTGTGGTGTCCCGTGTCCCGTGCCTGATGGGGCGCAAGGAGACACCCGGGTCTGCAGGAGGTCGACCGCCGACACCCAGACCTCTGCTCGCGTTTGTCGTTTCTGTGCCGAATCCTATTACACAAGGAGTTAAAACCTAGAGGCTGTACATTAATTTGTAATTATGTATAAAGTAAAGCAGTTTTAAACTGTAAAGACTCTTCTCGGCGTTTTCTGGAATTTTTCCACCTTGTATGGGGTTGTATTTTATTTATCTTCCTGCCTAGTTATTGCCTTCAGATTCTTGTAAAGCCCTTCTTGACGGTTCCCAAAAATAAATGGTTCTTTAAGTCTTGACCGTGGCTGGTATGTCCCTGTCCTTCTGGGGCTGGGCTTCATAGAGTGGTACCTGGGCCCCTGGGAAGGGGGTAGCAAGGAGAGCCTTCTCCCCGGTGAGTGAAACCTCTCTGTATCTGGGGGCAGGAGCCAGGAGGTCCTGAAGACCTAAGTGGATCCTTGGGGACTCCTACACTTTTCTACAGCTAGGATCCAAACCCCTGGGGGTGCCCAGTGTCATAACTCCAGTTACACCAGTGTAGTGAAGAATGTCCTCGCCATAGACACTACTGTGTAAAAGGGTTCGTGGTAACGTGCCCGTCACCAACTGCCTTCACCTCGCCCCACCCCCGACAGGGCAGCTGCCAAAACCTCCTTCCGGAAGAAGAGTCTTATTTGCCTTGAGCTCCGTGGGGATTGACCGGGTTTGACCGCAGAATGCTGGGGCTTTGCTGAGAAATCGGTGTTTGGAGGCGCTGTTGCTGACCCCGCGCGGCCTGCTCCCAGGTCTGAGGATGCTGCCGCTCACTGTAAAAGGCCCCTAAATCTCCCGGACCCCGGGGATGGCGTCATGTAGAGCTGCCTGGGATCCGGGCATTGCCCCTTGCAAGTTCCTCGAGCAACAATGGACAAGAAAGTCCTGCCAGAGTGCCAAGTGTCTTCCCTTTGCCAGTGAACTTGGAAGTGTGCCCGTGTCTTCTCCAGCCTTGGCAAGAGCTGCTTCCCCACAAGCCAATGGCACGCCGGTCCCTCCTGGCCCACTCACTGTCCCCTACCCTCCTGTATGCCTGTCCCACGGAGACCCCTCTGCAGGGCCAGGAGAGCAGTTCCTACCGTCCTGGGGACTGAGCCAGGGACAGGTTCCGTCTGGGAGGCCAGAAGAGCGAGGAGGTCCGTCCTTCCAGAACAGCGGACGCAGGAGCCCTCAGGCTGCAAGAACATGACAGCCACTGGGACAGCCATTGGCCGGCTGCCGCCCCCCCTCCTGAGCGCCGCCACAGTGCAGACCTGGCCACGCGTGGTTTAAATGCAAGTGGCGTTTTCTGCTGGCGGATCCCATGCCCGAGGGAGAGGCTGTGGTCTGCACACCACCCAGAGCGGGCGTTGCAGCAGGGGCTGTGCCCCGACAGGAAGTGTGGTGCCACAGGACAGAGGTCTGAGTCAGAAATAAAGAGGCCACAGTCCAGACAGGAGCTTGCAGAGAAGGGAACAGTGCCGTGCACAGGTCTTGTTTTTTTTCTCGGAAGCAGTAACAAGCAGAACCTAGGTCAGCCGAGCTGCAGGGGTCCGAGACGAGATCAGGAACTCCTGTCATGGGGGGAGGGGGGACCAGGCACCTCATCCCGGAGCAGCTCAGGTCCCACAGGCCACCTTGCTGGTTAGACGGCCCTCCGCCAGGTGTTCCCCCGCCACAGCTCCTGCTCTTGGATGCTTAGTTCCTTTCAGGTCACCAAGAGGATGGTGAGGGGAGCCGTGGGGTCCTCGGAGGAGCAGTGGGAAAGGCGGTCGGGCTTGGGAGGACTTAGTGTGCACCTCAGATTCAGGGAATGTGGGCTGTAGGGCCCCACGGGCCGCCCCGTTCCACCCCCAGCCAAGTCTCGGCCACATTTGGTATCCAAGTTACTGCCTGGCTGGTCCCCAGGCCCCTCTGGCCTCCTTCCAGATGCTAATTGTTGCCCTGCGCGGCTGGAAATAGTCCCCGCTGGCTCGGGTGGCCCCTCCCCCGGCGCCTTTGTGGAACTTCTCTCCCTGGGAACCCTGATCTGAGGGGGTGCGGGGACAGGGTCCCAGGAAGGCCTCCCTGGGAGAGCTGATGGCGGGTGGGGGGGTCTTGAGCTGGTTCCTGGGAACTGACCAGCTGAAACCCAGGCCGCCTTTGTTCTTGCTCCCCCCTTGACCCTTCCTGCAGAGGGTCCCTGGACTTCCCACCCCACCCCCCACTTCACAGTCGGAGCTGGGCAGTTGCCAGGACAACCCTCCTCCTACCCAGCCTGGTCTCTGCGGCCCAAGGAGGGGACATTGGCCACCTGACACATGCTCCCCGCAGGACAGGCTGCGGTGAGGAGCTTGGGCGTGGGTGGGGCCCCCGGGGCTGTGGGCAGAGGCTGGGAGACCGGGAGCTGCAATCATGCTCTCAAAACCCCTCCGAATCAGGAAGCCAAAGTGTTTCTTAACGAAGACCGTGCTTTCCAAGTCGGAGCCGAGGTCCCGGTTGCAGTGACCGTGTCCACAGGGCGGCTCCATGAAAAGCGGGGCCATGGAAGCAGGAGGAAGCTGCCTGCCAAGGGGGACCCACCCCTCTGCCGCAGGACAGCTCTGGGCTTCCCAGGCCGCCAGCTAGGGCAACGCACTTCCAATGGGGCTTCCTCTGCCTGCCCCCAAATCTGGAAGACTCTCTTCCTAGCCCACGTGTCTTCCTAACACAAATGAGTTGCGCGCTGATGTTGGGACGGGGCCATGGAAATGGACATTGTGGAAGGCAGTGTGGTAAGCTCTCAGGTCCCCGAGGAGAAAGGGGGCCTTGGAGAGGAGCGGCACCCGCGTGCGCAGAGCCGGAGCCTGGGAGCCTGGGCCCGGCTGCCTGCACCGGGCACCTGGAGCTCGGATGCCGGGACACGTCTTCTGCAGGGGCCCCGGCTGGGCCCAGAGACAGCGCAGCCCCCTGGGAAGGGGAGACACGGCGGGGGCAGGGTTGGCCTGCACCTGCCTTCCCGGTGACACCTTCGGGCCCAGTCGCTAACAGAAGGCACGGAGGGGGCGGGGCGGTGCTGCGGGACCTGCTCGCTGCGGGAGTGATTGCGCCTCAATGCGCTTATTTCCCACCAGTGAGCGGCAGCCAGAGGTCCCAGCGCGGACGCGGGACGAGGGGGGGGGCGCGCGGAGTTCATTTGCAAGGAGAGCTCATGACTCTCAGGAGGCTGGGACAGTGTCAGGGCTCTACAGGAGAATCCACCGAAGGGCTGCTGCAGCTCCAACAACCCGACCAAAGGCGAGCCCTGCCATCTGAGTGCTGATGGGTCCCGGGAAGGGGTCTCCCCAAATTCACAGGAGGGGCAGACCTTGCACCCCGCCTGGCAGGGTGAAGATCCAAGTCAGCCCATGACTGTGCCCCCAAGACAGGCCCCAGAGCCCAGAGAAAGCAAGAAGGTTCTCAATTCATTTAACGTGGGGGGAGTGACCACCGCAAGGTGCTTGGTGCCTGAGATGTGTGCTTAGCTCTGCAGCCCGACAGGCCAGGGCCCAGCTGCTTCCCCACCCCGGGCCCCCCAGCCGGAGCCTCCCTGAGTCTCCCAGCAGAGCCGCCCCCTGGGACCAGAGCCCACGGCCACCGGGAGGCTGGGAGGGCCCTGGAGCAGACAGGCAGGCGTCTGGCCCGGGCGTTGTGGGGTCTGAAGACTGGAGATGCGCCTTCTGCTCTCAGAACGGTCCCGAGTGGCAGCTGGTGCTCACCCGTGGGTGAGCCTGATGTAACTGAGTCCCCAAGAGTCGTGCATGGAGGTCCTGTGAGGGCCACGCTGAAGGACAGAAAGCAGCTGGCTTATCACGCACCCCAGGTTGATAAACGGCAGAGCCCACTTCGGAGCCTGGCGCTGAGCCAGCCAGGCGGCTCGCGCAGAGCCGGCGGGAGTCACAGGCTGGGGCCAAGCACCAGGAGCCCCTCCCCCTTCAGTGGCACACAGGGGTGAGCAGGAGGTGAGCCCCAACTTTAACACTAGCTTTCAGGGTGGCCGCTAGGAGGAGCTGACCTCTCCGCACCCCAGATACTAGGGACAGACTGATGAGGGACCCAGTGACTTGGAAGGTCGTCTGGCAATTCTCTGGGGACCGGGCTTGCTTTGTGAGCTTGGGGGGCACCTGGGCCAGGCCCACTTCCCAGCTGGAAGGCCAGGATGCAGAGGCCAGGGGCGCTGGTCGGGGTCTGGGGTGGTGACCTCGCTGCTGATCCCCTCCACACTGAGAGGCGTCCAGCACAGGTGGAGTCTGCAGTGCGCCCCCTGGAGTCCCTCTGGGCCCCCACTCCTATCTGCCCCACTTCGAGGGAGGCCGCAATCTGAAGACCAGTGTGGTCCCATCAGGAGATGGGGTCATTGCTGCTGCTTGCTGTCTAGTCTGCCGAGGGGAGGCGATGGGTGGCCCCCGAGGGCACCCCCTTGTCTGGCAGCATATGTCACCTGGGCCCTGCTGTGACTGGGCAGGAGCACACGTGTGCACCGGGGCATGGCTGGCCTGACCCAGAGGTGACAGGGTCACCGAGGGCAAGCCCAGCTCTGGGGCGGGGTCCGAGTTCCTCGTGAAGCTGGCAGTCCGGGGCCCTCGGATAACGAAGCCTTGTGGGCGGCTGTGCCCTTTATAAAACGTGTCCTTGCTTTCCCCTTGGGAACTGAGCTCCGCCGGGCCCTGTTCCCCCAGCCCTGGGACGTCCTCGTGGGCGACATGACAACCCCGACAGCGAGGTGAGTCCGAGGCTGCTGTCGGGGCTGCCGCCCCCCCCAGGGCTTTCCCCTGCCTGGGCCCCCAGTCCCTGGCCAGGACTTGCTGAAGCAGGTGACCTCAAAGCCCCGCAAATGTGTCTTCCCGGAGTCCGAGGGAGTCCTGCGCACACCCCTCTGGAAGGTCCTCTCCCCGAAACCACTGCAAAGCGGAAAAGCCTCGGGCAGACGCACTGGCGCTGGAGACGGCTCTTCTCTGAACTAGCACAGCTCCCAGGGCCGATGTTCCAGACGGGCGGGGCGCTTCCGGCCACTCGGAGGCTGGCCGAGGCTGCCTGAGCTTCCCCGCGTGGCCACAGGGCCAGGGCCAGGGCCGCAGCCGAGCGGCGGGGGACAAGCAGAGCCTGTGGAGCAAGACAGAAGGAACAGGAATCACGCCCGGGCTGGCACGTGCCCGAGGACGGCCCGTGGTGACCGAAGGGAAAGAGGGAGCCGCACACAGGCAGGCAGGGTCCTCCAGAAAACCTGCATCTCCCCTCTCGTTGCTCAGAGGACCCCGGGGTCGGGTCCCACCTTGGCCGCAAGCTCGGGTGGCCTGGGTGTGGCCGATGTTGGTGGCAGAGAATGTGGCCTCATCCCATCAGAGGTCGGGCCTTTGCCCCTGGCTTCTGGGAGGTGATCGATGTCACACCTGAGAGGAGTGTGTTGGCTCAGAGTGGGGATGGGGACATCACGTGACTCAGGGAAGGTGCTCCGGGTCAAGCTGCACCAGGTGACCGGCAGCCCGAGAGAGGAACCCCGTGAGCAATGAATGTTCCTGCCTCCTGCCGGGCCTGATAAAAACTCTGGCTCGGAGGCCTGAGCGCGTGCCCCTGGCTGGCAGTATGCAGTGACGCCAGGACAGTGACAGGGCCCGACTCCACGGGGAGAGGACGCGACGCTCAGTGGATGCTGCGGTTTGGACCACCCCGCCCCGTACATCTCTGGCCGTGGCTGATGGTCACTGTACCCCTTCCCTGTAGTAAGCCATGACCATGGACATAGCGGTCCCAGGGCATGCTGGGAGGCCCTCCAGGGTGCGCTGGCCGGAGGGTGGCTCCTGTCCCGCAGGGGGTGTCAGAGTGAGGACACTGTCGCAGGGAGATGGTGCCTGAGACTTTGCATGTCGGCCTAACGCCTGGTGGAACTGTCAGAGGCCCTGGGGGTTCTGCTCTGTAGCCATGTCTGCTAGGTCTGGGAACCCCCGCATCAGTCTGCCTGGAGCCCCATTCGGCAGAGGGGTCACCTGCTGTGCTCAAAGGCAGCTTCAAGGACGGGGCAGAGCCAGGTTTCGGCTCTGAAAAAGGGTCCCAGTGGCCTGTGGCCCCACCCAGCCTGCCCTGGAATACTGAGACCCGCACCCGAGTGGGAGCTCGGGGCTCACCTGGCAGGCCCCCAGGTGGGGGGGGGGCTCACCTGGCTCTGCAGGCAGGTGCTCTCAGGCCGGCAGGTGCTTCCAGGTGCTGACGAAGGCCGTGGGGATGAGTGAGTAGGGCACGCTGGTGATGCAGCTCCACGTGTCCGCCGTGGGGTCGTAGCAGTCCAGGGTCTTACACCTCTGGGTCCCGAAGTAGCCCCCCACCACGTAGAGCTTGTTGCCCGAGGCCAGGGCGTGGCAGGACATGCGCTTGGCGGTCATGTCCCCGACCCTCGTCCACTGGTTGGTCTCGCAGTCGAAGCGGTAGGCCGAGGCGGCCGTGAACTCCGTGTCGCCTCCCATGATGAAGATCTGGCTGCCCAGCACGGCCGCGGCGGTGTACCGCCAGGGCTGGGGACACTCGGCCTTGATGGTCCACCGGTTCTCCGACGGGTCGTAGCACTGCACTTTGGACACCATGTCCCGGTGGATGCTGGTCCCTCCGAAAACGAAGAGCTTCAGCTTGGCGCTCACCACCGCCGCGTTGCTGACGCCGTCCCGCAGCGGGGCCACCATGGTCCACTTGTTGGCCCCGGGGTCGTACTTCTCCACCTGCTTCAGGGAGACGGAGGGGGACGCCGGGAAGACGCCTGCCAGGGACGTGTGTCCCCCGACCACGTAGAGACAGTTCTCCAGCTCGGCCGAGCCGTGGCCGAAGCGGGCGATGAGCATGGGGGCCGCCTTGGACCACTCCTCGTGGACCGTGTCGTACACCCACACGTCCTTGGAAACCCCGTTCTCGGAGCCCCGCCCCCCGGTCACGTAGACCTTGCAGCCGATGGCCGAGGCGCTGAACTCCTTCCGGGGGCTGGGCAGGTCCGCCTTGGGGATGATCTCCTTGGCCTTGTGGTCCACCTGGTAGATCTTGTCGCACATGAAGGTCTGGCCGCCCAGGATGAGCAGCGTGTGGCCCGCCTTGCGCGGCCGGGCGCAGGGGCTGGTGACCACCCCGTCGTTCTGCAGGATCTTGGTCTTCCAGTGCAGCGCCTCGTCGAGGATGAGCTTGGTGTGCTCATCCGCCAGCAGCAGGGCCTCGCTGGACATGGCCTCCTTCAGGCAGTCGGACGGTAGCAGCGCCAGGCGCACGCTCCGCAGCAGCTCGGGCAGGTGGGCCTTGCGCCCGTCCAGGTCATGCTTCACCCACTGCAGGATGGCCTCGAACACCACCCGCTCGTCCTCCGTCTCCAGCTCGTCGCTGGAGATGAGGTCCAGCAGCTTGTCCTTGGACAGGCCGTTGAAGTCCTCGCTCTGCCGCACGGTCTCGAAGTGCGCCAGGCACATGCGCCAGGAGAACTCGAACAGCCGGCGGCACTGGTGGGCGTCGGACAGCAGCATCGTGCCCAGGCAGTTGGACGGGGACAGGCTCTTCTCCAGGAACTCGGCGGCCGCGTCCCGCACGTCGTGAAACTGCAGCATGTCCCCCGCCTCCAGCAGCGACTCCGCGTTCTCTTCGTTGATGACGATGCGCGAGGAGTAGGCGAAGTCCAGCAGCAGCTCCAGCACCTCGGGGTGCAGGTTGTCCTGGAAGTTGACCGTGTCGTCCCGGCTCTCCCGCAGGCCGTGGCTGAACATGGCCTCGAAGTAGCGGCTGGAGGCGGCCAGCACGGCGCGGTGGCAGGGGAAGGCGCGGTCGCCGGCCCAGAGCGTGACGTCGGTGAACATGCGGTGCTTGCGCAGCGTGTTGAGGTGCGCCAGCACGCAGTCGGGGTGCGACGCCTTGTGGAACACGGTGATGTTCATGGACCCCGTGCTGCTCCGCGACTTGCGGGTCTCGTGGACACTGACCGACATACTGAGCCAACCTGCGGGGGACAAGGCCACAGGTGAGAGGGGCCACTCCTGACGCAGCGACTTGGGGACGCACAGGCCCTGGCTCCCCAGCCCTCTCCCACCCCTCCTCTCTGACCAGCTCTGTCCCTCATGTCCCCTGGCCACATCACTGAGAACCACGCGGTGGCAGAGGCTGGCCTTCACCCCTGCCCTTGACAACTGGTTTTGTTCTCCTGGGTTTGGAGCAGCTCTGGAACCAAAGGTCTTTGGCCTGGCTCCGAGCCACCCCTGGGCGCAGGAACGTGCAAATAAACAGTGTCCCTGGCTTGCTTAAGCCAACGTCAGAGCAATGCTATTGTGCCCTCGATGGCATGGCAGCCTCCGGGCACGCTGCTCTGTGGCCTCATTCCAGAGCAGGGAAACAGGCTCGGCAGGCAAAGGAGCTGCCCAGAGCGCTGGAGCGGGATTCCCGCGGGGGCTGTCCGGGCCCTGGCTCCGCTGCCTTGGTCCGAGGGTGCCGATTCCTGCCGGGGGACTTGGAACATTTTCAGGGACCAGCATGGCCCCAAGCACAGCCTTAGAGCCGGGGCTCACATGGGGGCCCTGTCCATAAGCAGGGCTCCCAGCAGTGCTGACCAGGCCCCCCACCCCCTTCACTTGGCGAGATCTCAAGAGTGGCTGTCACAGCGCATGCGCTCAGTGTAGACAGTTCTCAACAGCCACAGGCCTCTCGACCCAGCTGGGATGAGCAAGGCTGGGGAGGGGGGGCCAGCTGACCCCTGGCTCGCCCACAAGACACCTGCCCAGTTTGGAGGTCCCGACAGGAAGTCAAGACAAAGACCCATGCTGCACGGTGACGCGATCCCGGTTCACCCCACCCAAAGAGCCGGAAAACCCACGCCTTCGGGGCCTCCCCACTGGACAGCGACTCGGGGATCCTGGGCACTGCGAGACCTCCCCTGCCTCCCCCGACTGTCCTCATGTGCCCAGCCAGGGGAGGGGCTTAGGCTGCTTGTCCCCATTCGCATTGGGGAGAGTCCACAGCGCTTTAAGTCCAGCTGACGGGACAACCCCAGACCCCACTGCAGTGCTGTGGCCTTGAGGCTCAGCCCACAGGCAGAAAATCACCTTTCGAGAAAACGTGACCCAAAATCAAGCTGAATGCAGCGTCCTGACCCCCAAAGTCTATGAAGCCTTCTTCCTGCTAGTAATGAGGCAAAAAAACAAAACACTTGTTTTTCATTTGTATTGAAATCAATGGGGTGACATCGGTTAATAAAATTATATAGGTTTCAGGGGTACAATTATAGAACACATCATCTGCATATTGTATTGTGTGTTCACCACCCCAAGTCAAGTCTCCTCTGTCATCATTTATGCCCCCACACCCTCTTCTGCCTCCCCCCACCCCCCTTTCCCTCCGGTAATCACCATACTGTTGTGTGTCTATGAGTTTTATGGTTTTCTTTTTACTTACTCCCTTCACCTTTTTCATCCAGTCCCCCAAACCCCACTCCTCTATTCTCTGTATCTATGAGCCTTTCTAGTTGGTTTGTTAGTTTATTTTGTTCATTCCATATATCCCTTGTCTTTCTCTGACTGGCTTATTTCACTTAGCATAATACTCTCCAGGTCCGTCCATGTTGTCACAGAAGGTAAGGTTTCCTTTTTTACAGCCGAGTAGTACTCCATTGTGTAAATGTAAAACAGCTTTTTATCCACTCATCTACTGATTGGAACTTGGGCTGTTTTCAGATCTTGGCTGTTGTAAATAACACACAAGGAACATAGGGGGTGCATATATTCTTCTGGATTCGTGTTTTGGGTTTCTTTGGATATATTCCCAGAAGTGGAATAGCTAGGTCATAAGTCAGTTCCATTTTTAATTTTTTGAGGTAACTCCATACTGCTTTCCACAGTGGCTGCACCAGTCTGCATTCCCACCAACAGTGCACAAAGGTTCCCTTTTCTCCACACCCTCGCCAACACTTGTTGTTTGCTGATTTATTGATGGTAGCTATTCTAGCTGGTGTGAGGTAATGCCTCATTGTGGTTTTAATTTTCATTTCTTTGATGACATTGAGCATCTTTTCATATGTCTGTTGGCCATCTGTATGTTCTCATTGGAGAAGTGTCTATTCTGGACCTCTGTCCAATTTCAATTGGATTGGTTTGTGTGTGTGTGTGTGTGTGTGTGTGTGTGTCTGTGTTATGAAAATTCTTCATAAATTTTGGATATTAACCCCTTATCAGATATATCATTGGGAAATATGTTCTCTCATTCAGTGGGTTGTCTTTTCATTTTGTTGATGGTTTCCTGTTGTGCAAAAAAATTTTAGTTTGATGTAATCCCATTTGTTTATTTTTAATTTTGTTGCACTTGCCCAAGGAGATATATCAGAAAAAAAGATTGCTAAGAGAAATAGCCCAGATTTTACTGCCTGTTTTGTTCCAGGATTTTTATGCTTTTAGGTCTAACATTTAAGTCTTGAATCCATTTTTAGTTTATTCTTTTGCATGATGTAAGAAGGTGGTCTAGTTTTATTTTTTTTGCACATATCTATCCAATTTTCCCAATATCATTTATTGAATAGATTATCTTTACCCCATTGTATATTCTTGCCTCCTTTGTCAAATATTAATTGACCATAAAGGCGTGGGTTTATTTCTGGGCTCTCTGTTCTGTTCCATTGATCTGTATGTCTGTTTTTATGCTAATACCATGCTGTTTTGATTACTGTGGTCTTGTAATATAGTTTGACATCAGCGTGATTCCTTCAACTTTATTCCTCATTCTCAAGTTTGCTGTGGCTATTCATGGTCTTTTGTGGTTCCATATAAATTTTTGAAATATTTGTTCTAATTGTGTGAAATACACCAGTGGTATCTTGATAGGAATTGCGTTGAATCTATAGATTGTTCATGGACATTTTAATGATGTTAATTCTTCCTATTCATGAACATGGTATATGCTTCCACTTATTTCTGTCTTCTTCAATTTCTTGTTTCAGTGCCTTATAATTTTCTGAGTACAGGTCTTTTACATCCTTGGTTAAATTTATTCCTCAGATTTTTTTTTTTTTTAATGAAATTGTAAATGGGGTTGTTTTCTTAGTTTCTCTTTCTGATAGCTTTATATTGGTGTATAAAAATGCAACTGGCCCTGGCCGGTTTGGCTCAGCGGTTAGAGCGTTGGTCTGCGGTCTGGAGAGACCCGGGTTCGGTTGCCGCTAAGGGCACGTACCTCGGTTGCAGTTTGTCCCCGGCCCTGGTTGAGTCGTGTGGGTGGCAACTACTCGATGTGTCCCTTTCACGTCGATGTTTCTCTCTCTCTCTCTCCCTCCCACTCTATCTGAACAAAACAAAACAAAACAAAAAAATGTCCTCAGGTGAGGATAAAAAAATAATAATAAAATAAAATAAAAAATAAATAAAAAATGCAACTGATTTCTGGATATTTCTTTTGTATCCTGCTACTTTACTGAATTCATTTATCAGTTCTAGTAGCTTTTTGTGGAATCTTTAGAGTTCTCTCTATATATATCATGTCATCTGCAAATAATGAGTTTTACTTTTTCTTTTCCAATGTGGATGCCTTTTATTTCTTCTTCTTATCTGATTGCTGTGACTAGGACTTCAAGCAGTGAAAGTGGACATCCCTGTCTTGTTCCTGATCTTAAGGGAAATACGTGTAGTTTTTGCCCACTGAGTATGATCTTGGCTGTGGGTTTGTCATATATAGCCTTAATTATGTTGAGGTATGTCCCCTCTATCCCTACTTTGCTGAGAGTCTTTATCATAAATGGTGATGGCTTTTAGCAAATGGCTTTTTCTGCATCTATTAATATGATCATGTGATTTGTATCCTTCATTACATTTATACAGCATATCTTATCACACTTATTGATTTGCAGATATTATAAAAGCCTTGCATCCCTGGAATAAATCCCACTTGATCATGATGTATTGTCTTTTATGTATTGCTGAATCTGGTTTGCTATTTTTGTTGAGGATTTTAGCATCTGTTGTTCATCAGGGATATTGGCCTATAATCTTCTTTCTTTGTAGTATCTTTATCGGTTTGGAATTAGGATAATAAATCTTCCTTATTATTAGGATAATAAGTCTTCCTTCTTCTTGAGTTTTTTGGAATAGTTTGAGAAGGATAGGTGTTAGTTCTTTGAATGTTTGGTAAAATTCACCTGTGAAGCCATCCTGTCCAAGACTTTTGTTTTTGGGGATTTTTTAAAATTACTGCTTCAATTTCACTAGTTGTAATCTGTCTATTCATATTTTCTGATTCTTCCTGATTTGGATCTTGAAAGACTATATGTTTCTGGGAATTTATCCATTTCATCCAGATTATCCAATTTGTTGGCATATAGTTATTTGTAATATTTTTGTACAATCCTTTGTATTTCTGTGGAATCATTTGTTACTTCTCCTCTTTCATGTCTGATTTTATTTATTTGGGTCCTCTAATTTTCTTGATGAGTCTGGATAAAGGTTTGTCAATCTTGTTTATCTTTTCAAAGAACTGCCTGTTGGTTTAATTGAGCTTTTGCATTTTTTAGTCCCTCTTTAATTTATTTCTTCTCTGATCTTTATTATTTCCTTTCTTCTATTCGCTTTGAGCATTGTTGTTTTCTTTTTCTAGTTCCTTTAAGTGTAAAGTTAGAGTGTTTCTTTGAGACTTCTGTTTGTTTGTTTCTTGAGGTAGGCCTGTAATGCTCTGGATTTCTCTCTTAGGGCTGCTTTCATTGTGTCCCATAGATTTTAGATTGTTGTGTTATTTGTTTCAAGGTATCTTTTATTTCTTTCTTGATCTCATTGTTAACCCATTCATTGTTTAGCAATATGTTATTTAGCCTCCATGTCTTTGTATTTTTCAGTTTTTTTCTTGATTGATTTCTAGTTTTATACCATTATGGTCAGAAGATGTTAGCTATGCACTGAGACTTGTGTCCTAACATGTCATCTATCCTAGAAAGTGTTCCATGTGCACTTGAAAAAAAAGTGTGTATTCTGCTGCTTTGAAGTGAAATGCTCTGAGGACATCAATTAAATCCATCTGATCTAGTGTGTTATTTAAGGCCACGGTTTCTTTGTTGATTTTCTGTCTGGAAGATCTATCCAGTGATGTCAATGAGGTGTTAAAATCCTCTACTATGACTGTCTATCTCTCCCTGCATGTCCATCAAGATTTGCCTTATATAGATATAGGTGCCCCTATGTTGGGTGCATAAATGTTTACAAGGGTTATGTCCTCTTGTTGGATCAATCCCTGTAGTATTATGCAGAGTCCTTCTTTAACTCTTACTATAGCCTTTATTTTAAATCTATTTTGTCAGATATAACTATTGCTACCCCGGCTTTTTTAAAAATTCCATTTGCATGAAATATCTTTTTCCATCCCTGTACTTTTTGTCTGTGTGTATCTTTCATTCTGAGGTGGGCTTATACATGGGTCTTGTTTTCTTATGCATTTAGCTACTCTGTGTCTTTTGATTGAAGCATTTAAACCACTTACATTTAAAGTGATTTTTTAAAAATTGATTTTAGAGAGAGGAAGGGACAGGGAGAGAGAGACAGAAACACTGATGAGAGAGAACATCAATTGGCTGCCTCCTGCATGCACCCCCCCACCCCCAGATCTAGCCCTGAAGAAAAATCTTGGGCATGTGCCCTGACCAGGAATTAAACTGGCAACCTTGGTACATGGGTCAACCACTGAGCCACACCGGTCGGGCTAAAGTGATTATTGATGGGTACATATTTATTGCCATTTTATTCTTTATAACTGTTCCTATGGTTTTGTTTTTTCTTCTTAAAGAAGACCCTTTAACATTTCTTGTAGTACTGACTTGGTGGTGACAAACTCCTCTAGCTTTTTCTTGTCAGGAAAGCTTTTTATTTCTCCTTCAAATTTTAAATGGTGCCTTGCTGGGTAAAGTAGTCTTGGTTATAGGTCCTTGCTTTTCATCACTTTAATATTTCATGCCAATCCCTTCCGGGCTGAAATGTTTCTGTTGAGAAATCAGCTGACAGTCTTATAGGAGCTCCATTGAAGGTAACTAGCTGTTTTTCTCTTGCTGGGGAACCAGGCTTGGGGTTGAGACCCCATGCTCCTCAGGGGGAACCCCCCTCCCACACACACACACACAGCTGCAATATCCCTTCAGAATCTCAGCAATGCCCGTGGGTGCAGGGCCAAATCTTTTCATGCCACGACCCTTTCTACCAGTCTTGATGTAGCTTCTTCTGTAAATCCTCAGCTAGTCTTCAGTTGGTTATTCAGGTTGCTTGCTCTATAGTTTAGTTGTAACTCCAGTTTGGACCTGGGAGGAGGTGAATGTAGCTTCCACCTAGTCCACCACCACCTTGGATCTCCTCTTTTCATTTTTAATTTTCAGAAGCATCTAACTCCCCCTCCCCACTCCGAGTCCATTATCTACTTGAGCAATGATCTGGAAAAGGAAGAAAGCGATTTCATGCTTCAGTGGAACTGGAAATGAGTGTCCAAGTGCACTGCTTGTGCATTCTCTCTCTCATTCCTCCCCTGGCAAAGAACCAGAGAAGTCTGTGATGACACCAGAGATGCTTGGGCAAGGCCCTGCTCCTGGGCGTGACGGGGAAGGCACAGAGGTTGGGTCTGGCCTTGCTGCTCTGCCCCCCAAGCTCCAGGCACCACAGGCCACTGGGTTCTGGGGTTGAGAGGTCGGCTCTCAGGTTGGGGGTTTGTGCAACCAGCACGAGGGTGAGCGCTGGACCCCAGGGCTGGGTTGTGCACTGTGGTCCCCACATCGCCACTGGCTCCCCCTGTTCCTCTGCACCGCATTTTCCCTTCTGTAAATAAGTCCCTGTCCTCCTCAGGCTTCTGAGAGTCTCACTCACTGGCAATGATTTACAGGGCACAACCTTTGAACTGGCCCTGGGACCAGTGTCACGAAACACGAGGCTGCACTGGCCTGCCCTGCAGGATGCTCCCCCCGTCCCCAGAGCTGAATTGCCCAATCTGAATTCCGGGCCCTGCAACATCTTGCTGTGATTGCTAAATCCTCATTCTGCCCTCGGTCACTCAACCAGCAGACAGTTTGCACAATGTGGTCTTTCACCAGGTGACCCGATCCGTCCTGTCCCCACCGTGCCGAGGTTGTTCATGAGGGGGGCCTCTGGTGTGTGTAGCACACTGGGCGATGGCTTGGCGGACTCCCAGCCAGGGCCCTGACACAGGCTCTGCCTCATTCATTCTTGAGCACCCGCACTTCCCAGGGCCCTGGCTGCTCTGGGTCCCCGAGCACCTCACTGCACCTGCCCCCCACCTGCCCCCAAGCCCAGCCAGGGAGCCAGGTCATTTCGAGCTTGAGCTGAATGTGGCCCTAAATGCTTGAGCTTGGACACCCATCGGAGGTGCCCAATCCCCTCGGATTCTTTCTTACAGACAGCCTGGGGTGGAATGCCAGCCGTCGGCCTTATTAACCACAGCGGGGGAACCAGGATGGTCATCGGTACCTGCTCCTGGGGCAGTGGGCTCCATGGATGCGCACAGGGCCTGGCCCCTGGCTGGCCAGAGTGGATGGCCCCTGCCTTTCCCGCACGGTCACACATGGACACGCACACACTCTAAGCCCACGAGGCACAGGTTCTCTTGGGTTTCTGGCCCTGTGAGGCCCACTTACCCCCTCCGGTCCCTCTTGGGGGTCCCAGGTCCACCCTTGAAGCGGCTGGGGCTGTGGCGGGCCGGCTGGACCCTGGCTCCTCTCTGGGGTGCCGCTGACGGGGCTGCCTTGTGAGGGATCGAGGTGGGGACTCCCTCTGGATGGGGCAAGGGGATGACAAAGCAGGACAAAGATTGAGAAAGCACCAGAGAGCAGGGCCAACCCGTACGGAACAGCCCAACACGGATCTGCGTGTTTGCCCTGCAGTTGAGGGCTCAGGGTGACCTCGCCAAGGCTGATGCTGCAGGGCAGCCCCGGACCCTGGAGCTGACTGGCATCCCGCGCTGCACCAAGGTGCCCGCCTGCTGACGCGAGCTTCCTACGCCGGCACGGACCAGCGGCACGCCCGGGGGGTTCCCGCCCAGCCGAGGCCCCTGAGCCGAGGGTACCCACTCCAGTGCCTTCCACATCAGAGCAGACGAAGGCTGATGGCCCGAGCCATGACGGCTACAACAGTGGGCGCGTCTGTGACACTGCTCATGTGAGCCAGCACAGTGTCCCTGCTGCCGCGCTGACATGACACCCTGGCTCTTCTTAGGGACCTCCACGCCAGCTGGTTCAGACACAGGGTCACCCTGGGCCCCAAGGCTAAATGTGCCCCAGCCTCCCGGTCAGCCGGCCTCTGTCATCCTCCCAGCGACCGTCACGGGCCTGACACCTGACGGGCAAGGAACCGCTCGTTCGTGATGTTCGTGGAACTGCAGGGAGTGAGGCGGGCACTGTCCCCAGGGCTGCAGATAGGACTGGACACAGGCCAGCAGCGGGCGTGGATGGCACACGCTGCCCGACATGGACACTGCAAGACGAGGCACAGAGGGGCCCCGATGCCGCCGAGTCTGACCCCACCTGCCCCTGTATTTCCTGTTTACCTGTGAGAGGGGTTTCTGTCACTTGCCACCAAGGACTGCAACTAGTACAAGGACTCCCCAGGACTTGAGTTCCCAGATTCGGTGATCAGGAGCTGTTCACCTTGATGAGGGACCTTAGCTGGGTGGGTCGTTCCACCGTCTCTACCTCCAGGGAGGCTACCCCGACACCGAGGGTATGGTTTTCATGAGCTGATTGTCAGTGTTCAGTCCCAGTGAACCACCCAGCCCGGGACACAAGGAGTGTAGGACAGAGGTTCACGGAGGTTCTGGTGGCCGAAGGGGTGAGCACTGGAGCACGGGAAAAATCAGGTCTGCCCACCTGTCAGAATCACGCATCTCCACACCCCGCCTCGGAGGGGCCACAATAAACCAGACATTCTAACGCTGAACGTGTCACACAACTATTGAGATTATCTAAGCGTCACCCTGGCTTTGATGGATTGGAGGCACCGAATATGACCGCACGACACTGCCATGCTCCAGGGGGGCAAAGAGGCACCGATGGACCCCAGACAGCACCTCGCTCCCCACAGTCATCCTTACCTGCGGAGAAGCAGTTGGACGCACTAAGTAACAGTGGTTCCAGCTCACTTGTGCCATCCTGGGAAGTGAGCTACACGCATAAGGAAACAAAGTAGCTAAGGGGTAAAACCTTCGGAATAAACTCCATGCTTCCCGAAGATTCCAGCAACGAAAAGGGAAGGGGCCCTGTTCTGCGAGAAGGCACCAGAGGCCATCACAGTGGCTTTGCTGTTGCTGACCCTTTCGGCTGCGGCTCCGACGGCCTCTCAGGGGTCCTGAAATTGAGGGTGTCAACTCCATTGTTCTCCACCAGAGGCCAGAGAGAGTGGGCAAGACCCAGGGTCCCGCTGGTGGGCTGCAGCCAATGAGGTTCCTGTCCCTCATTCACCCTAAGTTTCCCAGATGACGCCCACGTGCCAGGTCCCAGCACCGGAGATGGTGATGGACAGAGACCAGGTCCTGCCCCCAAGGGGCTACACTTTGGGGTGTCAGTGTCTGAGGAAACAACCAGGGAACGAGACATTTTCACTGCCTGGAGGAAGTTCTGTGAAGAAAATAAAACGGCAATGAGCCCCAGAGTGTGACAAGAAGCCGGTGGGCCCAGGCAGGCCCCTATGAAGAGGGGGTGTGTGAGCTCGACGGTAAGTGATGAGCTGGAAGCCAGGATGTGATGACGGGTGTAAGGAAAGTTCCAGATGGAGGGGCAGTAAGGGCAAAGGCTGGGTGGAAATGAGGTTGGCATTTCAGGGAAGAGAAAGGCCAGGGAGACGAGGGACAGGCCGGGGCATGATCACAGGAGGCCAGTGGGGTGTACCGAGGATGGGCACACATTCTGTGACCCCTTCCTCTGGGACGTGGGGTCTGTGTCCCCTCCCCTTGAATAGGAGCAGTTTCTGGGACTGTACTGTGACTGAGCAAACAGGACCTAAGCAACACTGTGCCCATGTCTGGGCCCAGGCCTTCAGAGACTGGCAGCTTCCACTCCTCCCGGAAGGTTCACTCGAGGGGCAGCCAGCCCTGTGGTGTGCAGCCATACTGTGAGGAAGCTCAAGTGTGCCCGCGGATGACACAGGTCCTGGGCCACTGCCCACTGCTCCAGCCTTCCGAGCCCCGGTGAGTGAAGAATTCGCCCCAAACAGCCCAATCACAGCACATGGACCCCTAGCCAGCAGTCAGAACTGGGACACAGACACAGGACCGCAGAGACTACCAAGGTCACAGATCACCCCTCCAAAGACCCAAGACAAACCCTGATGAGCACCTACGGGCTGTGCTGAGGGCTAAGGAAACAGACGCCATGGGGCATGGTCATATCTCTTGGGCCGCGCAACGCACATACGTGACACAAAAGCAAATACAGTGATACCTCGGTTCTCGAACATAATTCGTTCCAGGAGGACAGTCGAGAACCAAATTGTTCGAGAACCGAAGCAATGAAACCCAATAGGAAATAATGGAAACTGGATTAATTCGTTCCAAGCCCCAGAAAATGCCTATTTACTGGCCTAATTTGTATATAATATGTAGAAAAACATAAGTCTCAACAAGAAATAAAAGTGTACAGTATGTCTAAGGGTTAAATTCAGTGTAAAGCGTGACTCTCTCCACAAAGCGTGACTCTCTCTCTGCACTCACACTGATGACGCGAGCAAGGCGGCTGGGCCGAATGAACGCCATTCCGCTCAACTCGGCTCATCTCGGAAGTTCGAGTTCCAAATATTTGTTCGGATTCCGAGACAAAAGTTTCTCGAATCTCCTGGTCGAATACCGATTTGGTCGAAATTCGAGGCGTTCGAGAACCGAGGTATCACTGTATACGGACCAGGCGCGTGGCCAGGAGAGGGAGGCGGTGAGTATTTGGAGGCTGCTTCTCTCGGGGTATTCTGCCCCAGCTGCACCGACAGGACCGTGAAGAGCAGCCCTAAAGAAAGGTCCAAGTTCCCAATGCCAGTGGTTACAAACAGGGCCCCCAAAGACAGCTCAGCCATTCCTGTGTGACCCTGGGCAAGTTAATGCGCCTCTCTGGGTCTGCTTCCTCCCCCCCAACCATAAAGTGGTGATGAAAACAATCCTACTTTATAGGGTCGTGTGAGAATGTGATGAGACAGTACGTGATGAGCATCCAGGACAGCCTGGGCTTATCCTGTTTCCTTCTCATGCTGTTATTACCACTGTCGCTGAACAAAGGACACAGCAGACATTCCTGACCCCCGTTCTGTCCCTAACCTCCACTTCCAATAAGGCGGATTTCCACCGTCTATTTATTTTTAAGTGGTTTGATTTGTTAATGAGCACACGGTATTTTTTTTAATCCTCACCTAAGGATATTTTCCCATTTATCTTCAGACAGAGTGGGAGGGAGAGAGAGAGAAACATTGATGTGAGAGAGACACATCAACTGGTTGTCTCCCGCACGACCCCGAGCAGGGCTGGGGACCGAACCTCAGCTGAGGTACATGCCCTGGACCGGAATTGAACCCTCAACTCTTTGGTCGGCGGGCCAACACTAACCACTGAGCAAACCTGGCCAGGGCCATAGTTTTTTTTGTGTGTGTTTTTTTTTTATCCTCACCCGAGAATATTTTTCCATTTTTTGTACAGATAGAGTGGGAGGGAGAGAGAGGAAGGGAGAGAGAGAGAGAAACATCGACGTGAAGGGACACATCGAGTGGCTGCCACCCGCACGACCAACCAGGGCCGGGGACACACTGCAACCGAGGTACGTGCCCTTAGCGGGAACCGAACCCGGATCTCTCAGGACCGCAGGCCGACGCTCTAACCGCTGAGCCAAACTGGCCAGGGCAGGGCCATAGTATTTTTATAATCAGTTAAAACACTGGAGGTTTTGTCAGGCCCACAGAAATGGGTTATCCTAAAAGTGTAATGACAAAGGACTTAGGCGGTGCTGTCACATGTCACACACGCAGGGCTGGGGTTCCAGGCGGATGTACCATGATGCGCAGGTGCCCGCCCCTGAGTCTAGCAGCTCCTCAGGGAACCCTCAGGGTGCGGGCGTACCCGTCCTTCCAATTTTCAAGTGGAAAACAAACTAAGCACCCTATTAAGCACACCAATCTAATTGTTAATTGAAAGGAAAATTCGTATGACCACTGTAACTGAATCGGGGCCACAGATCTATCCAGATACCAGTGAATTACCGGACAATGGACCCTTTCTCTAGACGTTTCTGCCTGCCAATGGCCCTTTCTTTACAAGAAAACATTTTATATATCCTTCTTCAACGATTTCATGTACCCTGGTTTTAATTCAAAATGCAGTGGGTTAGACCATATTTCTCTTGTGCACTGGCTTTGATTTTACTTTGCAGCTTTTTGCCGTGAGATGTTGCAAACGTGTAGGACTGTTACGAGAACCGTGTCACTCACACCTTCTGCCTTCGTGTGGTTAGTCTGCAGCTTGCCACAGCGCCCCACCCCAGCCCTCGGCCTCACCCCATCCTGGCCTCACCTCACCCCCCTCCCTTGCAAGGGATGGGTCGGCTGCCGCGGTTGTCCCGGCGCACAGCAAGGCTCAGGGCAGGGTGAGGGTGTAGCTTCATGCACTGCTTGGTAATCAATGGCACCAAAATGCCCAGGTATCAGACAGCTCCCCAGGGAGGGTAGATGGGGGTAGGGGAGGGTCGGCCTACCCCTGAGGTCACCCCTCGGGCAGA